GCACTACGCACCACTACGTCACCCCATCACATGCTACAAAACTACTCTATGCGACGCAAGATTTATTACCTTATATTAAAGAACGCTAGAGTACGTAACATTACGATAGCCAACACTACGCTACTTTAAATTACGCTTGAGAACACTGCATAACGCAATGACGTTATCATACTCTGTCCTTAAGAATAAAGTACGCTACGTTATGCTAGATGTTGTACGCGCCGGAATGCTACGTAGTGATACGCGAGAAAAAGCTACGCTACGCAACGCTACGGTATGCTACATCACGTAACTAACCCAAAGTAAAACGTACCTAGATTGCGATACGCAAAGCAACGTCCTACTGCTTTACGTTAGGTTGCAACTTTAGGCTCTACGGTGCGCGAAGTTCTATTACGTTAGGGGACAGTAAGCTACCTTACGTTCGTTACGCTATGAAACGGCAAGCCTCGTTACTTTACGCTACTTTACGCTACTTTACGCAATCTACGTTACGTTACGCTACGCAATTTTACGCTCAAATATGGCACCGAACAGCGAGGAAATTCCGTAAAATCGAACCGCAACGACCGAAATAAGAGTCACCCTGAAATCCCGGACCCTCAAAACGTAGCATCCATAAATTAATTATCCCATCCCCCCGTCTCGCCTAGCCATCGAATAATCCCCGGTCATTTTTGTTGCCTCCCGAAAAAACACTAAGTAGAGAAAAGCGTCAGAAGACGTCAAAAATAGCCGAGAAAAATGGGGGAGAAGATCTCTGAAGTGAAGTGAAGAGAGTCGCCACGGGTGCTATATAATTTGCGAGAGTGGGGGGTGATGACGCGTCTCTACAAAAAAAAACATCGAACCGAAGCCTTTCCGGATTAAAGGGGGAAGCCCGGCAAGGAGAATTGAGAAAAATGAACCATGGCCTTCATAAAAATAAATCTGGGAAATGCCATTTGGCTACGATAGGCTTTGGCCCTTTCATGTCACTAGAGTTTTACGTGTTCTTTGAAGAAATTCGCCTCTAATTTTAATTTTAGAGAGTTTTTGGAAAGCTTGGAATTTTAGTCCCGAAAATCTTGTAAAAGTTTGTATTATAAAAGTTGCTTAAACCGGGAAAAGCTTTCCAAAACCTCAAAAATTAAAATTTTTTAAGGAGCTGGACAAGCGTGGTTTAGGCCTCTTGCGACGGAAAAATGCATTTAGGTATTTGCTTATACCCCTGAAACCGTAAAAACAGAATCTTCCAATTTCGATAGTTTTGAAAGTGTAAAAATAACCCAAAAACTATTGAAAATTAAGCAATTCCAATTTATTTTCAAAGATTTATACTTAATTTCTATTTTTGCGCCTCTAAAAATTTAAAAATGACCAAAAAGTGCCCTTACAAAGGATGTAAAGTGTAGCGTAGCGTAGTTAGGTCTAAAGGGAGCGTGACAGTAGATAGAGAAAGAACTCGGATTCCTGCACTAATGAGCCGAAAGAACGAAGAACAAAAATTAACGTAATTTCCAGCCAAATCCAGGAGATGATTTGACCAAAACGGCGACTTTGAAATATACCGGTCGGCCCGCCTGCCTGTGCAGCAGAGGCGAAAGAGTGAGAGCGAGAGAGCGAGAGAGAGCGAGAGAGAGAGAGAGAGAGAGAGAGCAGGTGAAAAAGAGAGGTCGAGACGCCAATGTGGCAGGTGTGCTTTCAAAAGGAACGGAATGACGTTTTCCTCCCCCCATTCTGCCTCTTCTCTTCTCTCTTCTCCCCCCAACACAACACTGGATCGCCACTCTTCGATTTTATTTCTGGCCGTGGAAAATGGAAGGGAAGAGACGTGGTTGACATGGTTAAAGGGACTGGGAAGTGTAGAAAATTTTTACTAGAAATTGTGAATTTTTGTGTTTTAAAGGGACTGTCAGGGCAAAAAATAGGAACTTTTGGCTATGGATTTTCCGTGGAATCTATCAGGCCACCACAGAAGCGCGCACCCCCGCTTGTTCACGTTGTGGCAAGAGCTGAATAGGGAATTTTATCGATGTTTTTACCTACTGAATTTTGTCGACCAGCGCTACGCAGCGCGACACGCAACGCGCCGCCCGCTTACCGCCTAACGGCTGAAATCGACCGGAAATCAAAGGGATAAGCTACTATCCGCGTTGCGTGTCGCCGTAAGAAAATTCAAAGATCGAAATCCCGTTTTAAAACGACGGTTACTCGTACAAAATTTGTGCCGCGCCGCGACACGCAACGCGTAGGTCCGCCTTTTCATTGCCTAATCGATTACGCGCTGTTAATGAGGTCTGACGGTCAAGGCGTGCCACATGATTCCGCGGTGTTCGTGAGTAGGCTGGCGGATAGTGCGCCAGACGTCGGGGTGCAGACACAGAGGGGAGGGGTAGGGCGCGGAATAGGCGGCGAAAGAGTGAGACTAGGCTATAGGGCACGGGGGAAGAGAACAGGGGGCGGGGCCAGAGCGCAGATTCTCTCTTCCCCTGTATGCCTGCCATCCTGTCTCAGTCAAACGAACACAACTGGCAAAGGGCGGAATGCTGTGGTGCGCGCGTTGCGTGTCGCGGCGCACCAAAACTTTGAGGAAACACACAGCTAAAAAAAATCTATATTCATGCCTCGTCGGTCGCTTTAAAAAGTGATAAAATCATATCTTTGCGTTTTATAAGTTGAATGATGTCGTAAAAATAAAATAAAAAACAGAAAAATACATAAAATACCGAAATGCCAATGAGCGAGAAGACAAAAACGCCCACCTCTCCTCTCCCTTGGTTGCTTTCGCAAAGTGATGACCCCTTGAACAACATAGTCCAACCTCCCCCCCGCCCTCTTCCATTGCTCTCTCGCGTCTTTTTCAAGGTCATCTACCGCCACCGCGTCGAGACCTTTTCGAGTAGAGAGAGCGTGGTCTTTAAAGGGACCGGAAATCTATGCAAAACATCGTAAGAAGCAGAAGCTCGGAGCTAAAGGTTCGTGGAAAAAGGACCCACAAAAAACTACGCTCGGCTGGTTCGCCGGCAAGTTTTTGTGCTTTTATTTTTATTTTTCGCTGACAAACCTGAATACTACAGGTTCAAATCTGTTTAAAAGCGGCTTTTAAAAGTGCCAGAAAGAAAGCAGAGCTGCTAGATTTCAACCGCGACGCGTGCGAAATACGTGTTGCGTCATTGCGAAACCGGTGCCGCGCAGCGCAGGCAACGCGTCAGTTACGGCTCGCGGGTTCTCGGGCGAATTTTGGTAAATTAAAACAGCTATACTGGTCGAAATCGTTTGAAAATGCAGAAATTGTGTCAAAACTCGGAAATATAAGCGTTTTCACGTGCGTTCAAGGCTAAAAACAGCGCGCGCGGTCGCGTTGCGGTCGTCCAGATTTAACGGATCATTTGAAAGTTAGAAAAAGCTAAATCTAAAGCCTAATCGAAGAACTTGACGTTTATATTGTTAACCCTAACAATATTTTTGTTCAGCTTAACAAACTACGCTTAGAAAAACAAACTTTCAGCGCCCCTCTGATTCAGCTAGGCGCTAAAGCGGCTAGACCACCCTTTCAAAACGTCTAGACCATGTGCCCCCCGATGCATAAGGGCATATTTTTGTATGCTGAAAGGAAGAGTAAATGGCAGTCTTCGTGCTCGATATGCCCCGATCAACAATCCCCGCCACTCGCCATCTCCTACACACGGCCATGGCGCGTAAACAGTCGACGAGATACCCTCGCCAACCTTACACTACACGGCAACAATCTTTATAGAGGATTCATCGTTGTGAAAAACATCGATTTTTTTCATCTAGTAAATTACAAGGGGCTAGTAACAAAACTTTAATAATGAATAAACTATGGAAATTTAACAGTATTCTCCTCCAATTTCTTCAAGATTTTTTGTAGAATTCGTTGTAATCCTATTTTAAACTATAATTCAGTTCTAAAACTTTATAAATTTTGTCTAACAAAAAAAAACGAGCCCTTCGACCTAAACAAGCCAAACGCAAAGTTTGAGCACGGTTTTTCAGTTTTTAAATGCCTTTTTCCACTTCAAATATATTTAGATTAAATACGAATAACTACAACACTACAAAGACACACAAGAAATAATATACAACACTTTACAAGGATGAAAAAATAACTTTAAAATTAAATGGCTTACTAAGCCGACGCAGAATACCTGAGCGCAGGGCAAAGCTAAACCCCTAAAACTATGAAAATTGTAAACCCACGTAAAAACCCAAACCTACGCCAACCTGGCAGTAACTTACTTATAAAGGCACGGTTCCTAGGTTTTTTACGAGGTGCAATGAGTGCAATGAGCGGCCGTGGAGCAATTGGCCAGCTTCACGTCACTCTCGTTTCGCGTTGCACCTTCCAAAATGCGTGAGAGCAAATAGAGGATCTCCTCCCCGCGCAACTCTTCATCTTCACAAAAACCACCACCATCACATCATTCGCGGTAAATAGGGCTCAATGGGAAGTATACTATACTGAAATCGGCCAGTCACGGTCTTTCTTATTTTTCCTGGCACTGGACCAATAACGGGGGGTATCTAAAGGGACATCTAAATTTACCACATCGCCCCGTAGAATCCCATTAATCCATGGACTAATCGCCTAATCCACCATTTATACAACTTTTCCGTTTTTTTTGCGTGTGTAGAAAATTTTTTTAAATATTGTGATTTTCAAAAATATTTATTTTTGATCATAAATGTCAAATTTTTTGAGTTTCTAAAAATTATGGCATAAACATCCAGCGTTTTGGCCAAGAAAAGATTCGCTAGCATTCCTCATTCATTCATCGTATAAAAATTTATTCACAAGAGATTCACAGATCAACGATAATAGCGCGTACCCGGTACATAAAAAACCCATGTAGCTGGAATTCCTAGCAGTAAGAAGAGCACTGATGATACCCGAGATATTAAAAGCCGCATAAAATTAGCCATGAGTATCCAACAAAAAGAATGGTGATTCACAATACATAACAAAAAACACAAAAAACAATATAAAGTCGTTATTATTCGTCGAGCAGATCGTTGATGATGCTGTAGGGCGGGTTTTGCTCGCGAATTGCCCTAAAAAAGTTAAATTTTTGTTTTTAAAACAACAAAAAAACTATAGTAATAAAAATTCAAATATCTTACTGAGATAATATATTTGCCGGCATCAACAGGATACGGGCCAGACGCTGTCGGGAACGAATATCACCGACGCCGGAGACGAGGCTTCGATTTTGACGCTCTCGGAAGCGGACTTCAAGACATCCCGACCATTCACGAAGCGCTTCAGAGACAGTGGCGCCGGTGAGGTCCTGAAAATCGAATAATAGAGTACGCGTTAATTTAGCCGCATTTTTCATCGGTTTTTACTTTTTTGATTTACCTCTTTTTGATTTCGCAGTTTATTTCCCGAATTTTAATCAAACTAATTTCCCCAAGCTTTTATCCATTTCGCCGTATTTTACGCTTCAATACTAATTACGCTGAGTGTCAAAAAAACAGAACCAAACGGGGAATTTGATGGTTTTGTTATCGAAATTAAAGTTTTTGCCCGTCACTTCCTGTCCCCAAGCAAAAAAACTTTTTTGGTAATTCCTAGAAATTCTCACATTTCGCAGAAATAAAGCACAAGCAGCAACAAAAGCCCCAGAGTTTAATTTTTAGCAAAATAAAATATGACAAGACGGATTGTGAAGAAATAAAAATTAGTGAAGATAAATTTTTGATGGAATAGCTTTGACGGAAGACTAACCCTCATCAAATCCGGATGGACGACAATCGGGTCTCGCGTCTCGGCCACCGTATTCTTGACGTCAAGAAGGCGCGACGTCGGACAGCCACTGTCAATGCCCAGCCACTCGAAGCGCCCGGTCACGGCCACGTAGTGCGTCGTCTTGTAGGCTACCTAAACAATTGATTAGCGGGTTGATTCAAGATCTAGTCGAACCTGGCTAATCTTTCGCCAGATATCCTCGTCGCATAAAATGAGCGCATCTGGGGCTCCGTCCTGGAGGTCGAGGTCGAGGTAGGAGGAGTTCTAAAAATTCTCTATTTAAAGGGACGGACAAGGCATGGATTCCTATCGATCAATGTATAGAATTTTTCGAAAAATGATCGCCCGTCATTCGCTTTAAATCTGACATAACTCACATCACAAAACGACTTCGAGCCGAGATACCGCAGGAAACTGAGCACCACCTCGCCCGGGTTGCTCACCGTGCCGAGCGGACTTTCGACGGGGACGCCATATTTCGGCTAGAATCAAAAACATCAAATTCCCGAAAAATGCCAAATACCGTATTGGGAAAAGTGACTGGCGGTTTGTAGTCGTCATTGTAGTGATCCGTACCCTGGGGGCGGACATGGCAATACTGGAAGAGGAGGTGGGCCAGATAGCGGGTGGTGCGCGAGACAAAGTTGTTGTCTTTCACCTCCCATAGGCTTGTTGGTGTTTTCTGAAACGGTTCAATAAATTAAAAAAATCGTCCTTACGTTAATTTTGCCTAAAAACATCCCTAAAATCAATAAATAAAGTATTATAAATAAGAAATTCTTTTGAAAAACTTCTCACATTGTCGAGCCAGCGATAGAGAACGTAGAGCATATCCAGGATACCGTCACCAAAAGCCGCAGCGTACCTTAATGGGCCATATTTCCGGAAATTTTGAAAAACTTACCGCTCCACCACTTCAAAATCTCGAATAAGCTCGTGGAAAGCCGCGTCAATTCGTCGCATTTGGCCTGCAATGTCGGAGAGTCGAGAAGCCACCTGAAAATATACAAATGAATAGTAAAACAATAAATAAAACCAGAACCAGGAATAAGCGCAAAAAATGAACCTTTGATCGAGTGCGCACGAGGACATTCGGGTCATTGTCAGACAGCAACTAAAACAAGGTTTTGAAAGCTACGCTACACGACCAACCAGTCGGCGCTTCGCGCTGGCCAACACATCCCAAACGACCCACGGAAACGACAGGAAAGTGCGTGAGGAATGCTTGTCGTAGGCTACAGCATACCTAAAAAACAAGGTTTTTAAAATTATCTAGAACAAAATCGCCAAATTAAAATGTTTCTTTGGTTGCAAGTATCGTCGTTTAAAGCTTAAAGTTAAAATCAAATTTTTTAATCCTTAACCCCTACCATTGTCGAGCTCTCAATTCCATCTCCTCCGTGAACCCATCCTCAATCAATCGCTCTTCATCCCCAAATTCCTAAAAAATAACTTGGAAATTTTCATCAATGGAGCCTACATTAAAAAACTGCTTCCGGAAATGCGTGAAAATGGCCGCATAGCGCACTTCGACAATTTTGTCGGTGTGGAAGAAGGAGTAGTCGTCTTTTTCCTCAAAATTCAGAATTTAGGTTTATTTCCAAAATTACCATCGATGTGAGGCGCTTCAGGGAGACAATATGGCCGGAAACAACTTGGGCTTCATCGGTGATTGTGTATTCGTCGAGGAGCGACTGGAAGAGGGTTTTAATAAATTAATCATCGTCCTTCTTTTCCTTCAAAATAAATAATTTTTTAGTTGAAAGAAATTTAAAAGCTAAATACCTGCATCCGCAATGAATATTCCTTGAACAGCCGCACAATTTCGGCTTGTTTTTCCGGGCGGGCTTCAAAGGGATTCCAGCCCTATAACAAAGCAGAATTTCGAAAGTTTATAACCTGATCAACCTCTGGAAATAAATGTGGTTCCAGCGCTGCATCAAATGGCGATGATGACGTGTCGACCTCCTCGATGATGTTGTCGATGCGCTTGATTTTACTAAAAAATAAAAAGTCGAAAGAACAGACAATAAAACTATTTTTTATTATTTTCATTTCTTCTTTTTGTTTGGGATCACTAACACAGACAAAAAAAATTAAAATGAAACGTGGACATCCTTGAAATTGAATATAATAGAGTTCAAAACACACCGGTAAAGCTGCCCGTTCAGCCAGCGGCTCATAAATTGCGCCTTGCTCCTGTGCTCCATATAATCGGGCGAGCTGTCCACCTGCATAAAAATTGTTATAAATAGAACCAAAATAAAATAAAATAAAATAGAATTAACCACAAACATTTTCATCTGGAGACAAGTTGTCCGCCGGTTTGCCCGTCTTCGGGAAATCCACAGCCACCGAGCACTTTTTCGCGATGGAGGTCGAAGCGGCGCTAAAAGAAAAATCGAAGAGTAAATAAAAATAAACGAAACGATTTTTTTTAGTTACCTAAATAGCCCATAATAATCCGAGGCGCGGAGATGCGCATTTGACAGTCGACCGATCGAATCCTGGGACAGGTAGCGCATGAAAAATTGGACCATGTCTTTGTGCTAAAAGAAATATAAAAAATAATCTACAAGAAAATTCATCAACCGTGGGCAGCTTCTCAGCGATTTTCCCTTCCTCTGCCGCCGGGAAAGACATTGCCGCCTCGTTGTGGTCGAAGAAGCAGCGCTCGTCGAAGATGACGCTGTATTCATCACCGTCGAGATCAGAGCCTGAAAAGAGTCTCAGGGTCAAAATACTACAAAATATCGACTTTACGACTCGTGACAATTTTTAACATTTTTTGAGTTTTGTAAAGCTTTCCCCGCTAAAATATAAAATGTTACTAAAAATACTAAAATACTTGTTATTAGGCTACTATAACGTGCGGCCAGTCAGAAGGATTCATTCAAATTAAAATAAAAAAAATAAAAAGCCAAACATGTGAAATGAAAAAAGCTGTATTATCATATTTTCTGTAAAATCCCCCACCAGCCATCTCATCGGGGTGTGGCCGTGGGCCATGCTGCGGAAAGACGATCACGTCGAAGAGGTGGCGAAGCGCCGGCTGGTCGATCGCCTCGAAAAGTCGAACATCTCCCGCGACGTGGCACGGGTTTTTGGAGACAAGGACGGTGCCTAAAAGTGCGTAAAAATACCAGAAAAAAAAAACCTTGATAAATCTGCGTGACCAGCCGGCTCTCCTTCCGAACCCCGGGGACGATCTTGTCGCGGAGTTTGGTCGTCGAGTATTGGATGAAGACCTAAAGGCGGGTTTTCCACGAATTTGAAGCTTTTTGGTACTTGCGCACTAGCGGGCGAGGGAGCATTTCCAGGAGAAACCTAATTTTTTTGGGTATAAAAGTCTAGAAATGCCCGGCACGTAATAGTAAATATTTTCATCGTAAACTCCACTAAATTTAAAGTGGAAAACTACTTTGTTTTTAAACTATTTTGATCGAAAACCCGATTTTTTTGCATTTTCTAAAACAATTTTTTTTAATAAAATCGACAACGCTATTGAATTAACATCAGTTTTTAAAGGTATAATTAACCTGGCCACTCTGTAACAACCCCGTATCATCCACCACTCCATACATCGTGCGTCCCAAATCGAGGGGTAAGAAAATCTTCATTTTGGACTAAAATTGGATGTAATAAATTTTTTAAAAGCCACTATACCCTGCTGAGGTGTTGGGTGATGTTGTGCTTATAAACGGCTAGAAGGAGTCGGCGGAAAAAGGGCTCGTCGGTCATCGTGATTCCACACTAGATAGAAGCTAAACTAAAAAGAAATGTATTCAAAACCTCTAGAATTCTCTGATAGTTGACAGGGATTGGAAGGCGTTGACAAAGAGCCGTTGCGGCATCATTCTCGTCCAGCAGCATTCCTAAAAGCTGGAACTTAGGCGACCTGGGGGAAATCTTACGCGTCAAAACGGAAAGTTCCCGCTCAAGATATCGATGGATCGTGCGCGAGATACGCAAATGTACGTCGGGTCCCTGTTTGTGAGCCACCTAAAAAATGGAGCATGATTTGGAAGCGGATTTTTTACTTGGTCAATGATGTTGATCAATGGGCGGTTGAGACAGACGGGCGACAACATGGCGTATTTGACAATCTCCAGCAGGCTGTCGCCCTCGGTTGTGTCTTGGAATTTCTCTTGGCTTTTTCTGAAAAATCATGGGTTTTTTCGTTTTACTTGTATTTATCGATTTTTTTTCTCGCTATAGGATAGGAACAACGAATTTCTTATTTAAGGAAAACAAAATAAATAATTTTGTACTTCAAATTGGATTCTCCGAAACTCAAAAATTATCAATTTTTTACCTAAAAACCACTTTCGGACCGGTGTAGCCGTCAAGTTGCGGATCGATCGTCAAAACACCCTTGAACCCCTTGAAACGGACCTAAAAATATTGATTCCAAATTTTAAGAAGACCAGATGGTTCCAGTCGCTTCGCGACTGTAACCATCTGGCCTTCGGGCTACCCTTCATTTCATACACCATCACATCCATCCCTACCTCTCCCAAATACCCCCGCTAATGGCTACCGATACCTCCCCTAGCCGAAATCCCCTTCAAAAACTACCTACATACCTTCCTGATGGCTTCAGATACCTCCCCTAACCGAAATCCCCTTCAAAACTACCTACATACCTTCCTGATGGCTTCAGATACCTCCCCTAACCGAAATCCCCTTCAAAAACTACCTACATACCTTCCTGATGGCTTTAGATACCTCCCCTAGCCGAAATCCCCTTCAAAAACTACCTACATACCTTCCTGATGGCTTCAGATACCTCCCCTAACCGAAATCCCCTTCAAAAACTACCTACATACCTTCCTGATGGCTTTAGATACCTCCCTAGCCGAAATCCCCTTCAAAAACTACCTACATACCTTCCTGATGGCTTCAGATACCTCCCCTAACCGAAATCCCCTTCAAAAACTACCTACATACCTTCCTGATGGCTTCAGATACCTCCCCCTAACCGAAATCCCCTTCAAAAACTACCTACATACCTTCCTGATGGCTTTAGATACCTCCCCTAGCCGAAATCCCCTTCAAAAACTACCTACATACCTTCCTGATGGCTTCAGATACCTCCCCTAACCGAAATCCCCTTCAAAAACTACCTACATACCTTCCTGATGGCTTCAGATACCTCCCCTAACCGAAATCCCCTTCAAAAACTACCTACATACCTTCCTGATGGCTTCAGATACCTCCCCTAACCGAAATCCCCTTCAAAAACTACCTACATACCTTCCTGATGGCTTTAGATACCTCCCCTAGCCGAAATCCCCTTCAAAAACTACCTACATACCTTCCTGATGGCTTCAGATACCTCCCTAACCGAAATCCCCTTCAAAAACTACCTACATACCTTCCTGATGGCTTCAGATACCTCCCCTAACCGAAATCCCCTTCAAAAACTACCTACATACCTTCCTGATGGCTTTAGATACCTCCCCTAGCCGAAATCCCCTTCAAAAACTACCTACATACCTTCCTGATGGCTTCAGATACCTCCCCTAACCGAAATCCCCTTCAAAAACTACCTACATACCTTCCTGATGGCTTCAGATACCTCCCCTAACCGAAATCCCCTTCAAAAACTACCTACATACCTTCCTGATGGCTTCAGATACCTCCCTAACCGAAATCCCCTTCAAAAACTACCTACATACCTTCCTGATGGCTTCAGATACCTCCCCCTAACCGAAATCCCCTTCAAAAACTACCTACATACCTTCCTGATGGCTTTAGATACCTCCCCTAGCCGAAATCCCCTTCAAAAACAAAAATAACGACCGACCGGATGGAATGAGAGAAAAAAAGAAATGAAATCCCCCGTGAAAATTTTCATCCACGAAACGCGCGCCACCTGGCTCACTATGTCCAAAATCACCCCAACCTCCGTCCCCCACCCCTTTTACTAAGGAAAAAACTTTCAAAGTTAATTTTAATAATTTAAACTAAAACTTTTTCGTAATTTTTTCATCAGTTTGGGGGTTTCTGACCACGCTCTATCCGAATCCGAAGAGAGCTAAGCTCTAGCTCCTTTCCCCTTCGAGTTGAATCTGGGACATGACGCACAGACAGACAGACGGACAGACACCACAGCAAAATTATTATAGTTGATAAATTACTTGGAAACAAGACGGCACATAGGTCAGCTCGAGCATAATTTGTATCTGGACGGCCAGTTTGTAGCTGATACGGCCAACCTACAAGAAAATAAATCAGGGATTTCCCATGCGGCTTACCCCATCAGAGAAACAGAATTCTTTTTGCGTGTAGAGTTGGGAGCCGCCGACGTAGTCGTCCTCGACAATCCAATCGCAGGGCCCGAGGCGAACTGTTGGCTAGAAAAATGGGCATTGCTTAAACGAACAACTTCTTTTTACCTGGGCCTGGGTGAAGCATTGCCCCATTCGGCTCATCATCTTCGGCACGCTCGTGCACATCGAAAAATCGCCCATCCAGCTGGAAAGCAAAATCAATGAAATAAATTATAAAACCCACTCCCGGATCTTTTCGATGTCCTTTCGCGTATTTGCCGCGTAGAGGTAACAACCGTAGTCTCGCATCTAAACGGCGACAATTTTGAATGGGCTAATGGAGCCCAAACCTGCGAGTTACTCCAAGCCAAAAATTTGTAGCATCGATCGACGACCTTCACTTCTTCCATCATCGCCTTGCTGATAATGTCGAGGATTTTTCGAGGATAGGTTTGGGCTAAAAAAAACTGTTTTTATTCCACGTTTATCCGACCTCCACCAGCATTCCCGATAAAGAACTCAAACGGTCTGAGCGTTTGACCCGAGTCATCGCGGAACACGCATCTAAAAGTTCGGTTCTTTTCTAATATCGGGGGAGCAAACTTTTCTCGAATTAGGATCGAACTCCAAATTGTAATAAACGATGTTTTTCATACTTTTATTTAATTCCGAGACGTAAAAATTGGCCATATCCCCCTAAAAAAACGCAATATCTATCTTTCAAACAAAATTACGATTTTTCAACACTTTCTTCAAGTTTTTAGATAGCTTCTCCATTTAAAATAAAGTTAAGCTTTCCACAAAAACAAGATTAGATCAATTTTTGCCATATTAGTAGGCATTTTCGACCTTTAGTAAAATTTTGCAATAGCATAAAACTTAGCCGACTACCTTAATACTTTATGCTAGGATACCTCAAGGCCTTTTCTTCTCCAAAATGCCTGACAACACGGTTGGCGAGCATCACTTCCGGTGCCATCAGGAGTGTTCGTAGCGGGCAAACCATCACCTAAACATGGCTACACAAAAATAATTAGGCTTTCAACCTTTCTGACGAGCACACAATTTTTGGGGATTTCCTGGGCGGACTTCCAGACTTCCGTCATGTGAACGCCTCGTTCTTTGGCTTCGTTGTAGGCAGTCATCCAGTCGGAGAACTAAAAAAAAAAAATTGGTTATGAATACGTAATTAAAATTAAATTTGAAAATCGGTTCAAATAAATAGTAAAAATCCCCACGTTGAGCCGATAAATCTCTTGGAATGCGCTGGTCAAATTCATATCCCGCCGTTCGTCCACCGCCACCAGCAAGTTCTCGAGCGCTGTTTCACAGGCCAGTGGGCATTCCTAAATCGGAAAATCGTCAAAAAAGAGATAGAAAAAGACTAAGAAAGGGAGCAAAGATAAGAAAAATTCTAGTGTAATTTAATTTCATAGTTACCGTGTGCAATTTTCAAATTACCTGATAGGCCAATCGAGCGCTGCGGAAAAACGGAAGCTCATCCACTTGCGAGCATGTGACCGCGTTCCGGTGGAAAATCTGATCCGTCACCACGGCACCACGAGAGATCAGAGCCTTAAATTAAAAAAGTGCTTTTCTCCCCAAAAAATGTTACGTGTATCGTGTAGTTGGCGCGGAAGGAACCGATATTCGGGACGTACGCTTTCGGCGCTTCCGGACATCTTCGAAACTAAAAAAATACACTAAATTTAGATACGTTAATTGATACCACTATTGGAGTTGTAAAAACGCGAATCTGGGCCCGCTCCGAGATACGGCCGATGATCGTCAAGAAATGGGCTGGGATATGTGGGTAATTCTGAAAAATTTGTGTTTAGACAGCACCGGTAAGAAATTACAGGCGTTGCTTTCGCAAAATCGTGCTATTTTTAGCCATTCCCTTGTCCTAAATTTAGCTAAATCTAGAGTCGCAAAACTGTCTAGCAAATATCAAACGCTGATTCAAACTTGTAATTTGATAGAAAATTGTTCAATTTTTGCCGGAAAATCTATATTTTTGTAGTTTTTAAATCTAAAAAATCGTAAAATTTTTAGCATATAAAAAAGTTAGATTCATATAAACAAGATGACTTTGTTAGCTCAGAAAACATTGTTAAAATTCTGATTTCGTTAGTAGTTTATGTTGCGATTTTTCGAAAAACCCTAATTACCTCATCAATGACGTAACGCTCCTGGTTGGCCCCAATTTTGTCGGTGTTGTTGTTGATGCGCAGCGCGATGTAGAGGCTGACGGAAATTTCGGGAAGCCGTAAAAACCACTCACTTATTGCCAAGACTCTCCTTCGAGCATCCGACCGATTCGTCAAAGCTCGGCCACCCGAGTTCACGCTCCCATTCGCGCGTCTCCAGCAGGTTCATCGTGCGCTGGGCCTGGCGTTTGGGGATGGCGCGGAAGAGCTGGAATTCCGAATTTTCAATATCCGCCAAGAAAAATCAACCTGCGGTGGGTGTTTCATATGAAAAATCAGTGTAGTTTGTTCGGGCTCGCTGCAATCCAGGGTTAACGAGACGATGCTACCATAGTCGATTTTCTAAAATAATAAACGCTGGAAAAAAATTTAGCGGCGAACCATTTGATAGCCATCGTAAATGAGACCATCATCTTGAGGGGGGATTCGGACACCAAAGTAGAACTTCATCACCTTCATGTCGTGCTCAAAGGTGGCAAAGGACAGCTCGTTTTGGCGATCTAAAATTATATTAGTTGTATCAATTTCAATTCATCGCCGCTTACCTGCAACAAAAGCTTGTCGCGAATTCAGCAACGGCTTCATCCGCTCATTGCTGATCTGGTTTTCGCCAGTAAAATAGTCCCCTCGAACCAGGAAAACGCCGCTAGTCGTCATATTGCCGACCATCAACGACTGGAAGGAGATTTGCTTGTGGATGATGCTAAAAAATTTAATGACAAAGTTGAAAACATGTTTTTGGTACTGTTTATCGATCCCCGCATCTTTCAGGGGCAACGCGAGCCGTTTCCGCTCATAAATCCGGTGCTCATTGGCTTTGCAGAATTTCGCAGCTAGCAGATACAGCGTCATCAAGCGACCTGGAATTTATTTTACAAACACAAATTTGGCAGTAATTTACGGCATTCCAGGAGAAGATTGTCAGCGCCGTACAATCGTAGCGTGGCGTTTACGATCAACTAAGATTTCGAAATCTCGTAAATAATCAGCAAAAAACCTCGTATTCCTGCCTCTCGAAAAGTGATTTCGGCAATGGTGCTAAAGCCCGGAGCTCCGTTTCCAAGAGGTCACACTAAAAATCCGCGTTTTTTAGTAATTTCCACGAGCTTGACCTGTTCCAAATCCTCGCCGACCAACCGGATTGTATAATCATCAGCGTGCTGTCGTAGTCCAAAGATGGAGAGCTCACAGTGATAGGCACTAAAAAAAAACAAAATGCATTATCACTAACGGAAAAAACTCTCACTCCACTTCTCGGAGAATATTCGTGGCAGCGACATCTTCTTGCGGGCCGGTAACCTAAAAATCACAATTTATCAGTTGGCCGGTTTTCCAAACCTCGCCCTCATCTATTTTCATTTGCAAAAATCCATAGGCGCTGTCTCTAAAAAATAATTTAAGAAAGCGAAATTTCAATCAACTTTGTCGCATCAACGGTACTCTTCGAATTGATCTGTTCTCGCGTTCTATTCTCTTCCAAAGCTTGAATTGTTTCCGGGCAGACGTCTTCGTAGAGCTCCTAAAAAATTCGATGTGAAAATCTTTTTACGCTAACCCCGAGGACATTGGGCAAAGCACGGAGGCACGCCGTCGCTATCCGCCTCAACTCCTCGTACAGTGAAAAGTGGATGTTTTGGTAGCGTTGTATCGCCGCTAAATCATAACTATACTTTGTAGATTAATGAATACCGTGTATCAAATGGTATCTGAAGTGCGGGATCATTCGTGGGAGTTTTTCGATGAAAAACGGTTCATGCTGAAATCAAGATCGGGTCAAAACAAAGTATCCAAGCTACCGTTGGGTAAAACGGAAGCCAATGGGCATAGTATGGCAACCAAGCGGGCGCTGGCTGATCGAGCAGTTCTTCGAACACCTCGGCAAAGCATAGAGACAAAATCTAAACTCGAGATGAGGTCTCGAAACAGGAAAACGATACCTCATTCATAGAAAGGAGCCTGACCGACGCTCTATTTGGGGGCAAACGAAAGCCAGGGTGGTCGGCTACCAACCCAAAGAATGGGCAATATGATCTAAAACATAGTTTTAAAAGCCAGTAAAAAAGGTTACATCGCAGCACGCACTTCGCGGCGGCCAAATTCCACCTCTATATCGCTGATTTGATTGTTTTCACTAAAAAAGCTTTAGAAAAGAAGGAACTCTTGCCCAGGCAAGATTGGAAGACTTCTCGTTCTTCTTCTATTCAGCGTGACAGTGGCTTCAGCCATCTCAAGCTCGTCTGGCTCCGGCCATGCCAGATTCTCTAGAGAAACTAAAAAAAAAACGCAATAATTAAAAACAAAAAGAATTACCATTGCCAGCATCCAATACTTGGCCCTCGTATGTCTTCAACGCCTTGCAACATCGCCTAGAGGAATAATAAGTACCTGAAAACCTTGTACCTTATACGTTCGCGCATCATTCGCTGGCAAGCTTTACAGTCGGCCGGGTGCAAAGCGACAGGTTCTCCATTCTCCTCAACGCCCACCTCGTCCTCCTGAGTATAAAGCTTATATAAACATCTGGTTACTAACAATGTTCAGGATTTCTTCCGTCTCCCATGTTGCTCCATCTGGCTGCGAGTCATTGTCCATAGATGGAGGGATAGTGCTGAAAATTCATGAAGAATTTGCTAGCGCATTTCAAAAAAATAACGAGAATAAGTCTTGACATTTTTGAAATTTTGAAGTATTTCATGCTTTAAACAAAGAATCAATTTTTTTCGAAAATACTATTATTTGTTTAGAAACCATTTATATCCCGAAAGGGTGTCATTAAAATAGTTTTCTACTTCATCCACGAAAAATTGAAAAAAAAATGGGTTTTCGCCTTCTAACAGCCAACAAAAAAAATGAAAATTTAGCCCGTCAATTTTCTCCAAATCTCGAATTCTCTGCATGTATACGTAAATATGATAATTTTTCGCGTTGTATCGTCATCAATTCAAATCATGAGCGAAAAGCTGGAGTTTAAACTTTATCCGAGTAGTGCAATAATCTCTAAAACAATGGGAGCGGGATAAGAAGCAAGTAGCTAGACGCGATAGGGGTATAGGCACAAACGAAATGAGGTAAAACTATATAAAAGCAAAAGAAATATTAATCACTACGTGGTACAACTAATTCCTACCTAATTCCAGCATGGTCACTTTATTTGGGGGCGAATTGCTCAGGGGAACCCGTGTGTGTTTTTTTAATTATAGATTATGGACTGAGCAGGGATGACTTATAAAAATGACAAGCAGTAAGCTCACACTCTTCTGAAAACGAACAATGCAACGAGTAGGCCGGCACCAGAATATTTGGGCTAATAGTACAGCTGTGGCGAATAGATGTTGGTAAAATCGTCTATTGGGTCGGCGAGTCCGGGTGGAAGAAGTTGGTGGAGAACTGCTCGAGGCCGCTGAGCACGAACGTCGTTTTGCCCCTAAATCGAGTTATAGATTGGGATTTTAGATTTACTTGATGGCAGAAAGCCCCTTGAGCTGATGGTCGAGCACGTTGATCTTCGACTGGGCCGACTCGAGGTCGCCCTTCATCTCGCGATGCACGCCGGCCACCGTAGCGCGGAGCCCATCGTACACTTGCTCCATTTCACTGAAGAAAAAAACCGGTAAACCCCTATTTACATAAATTTATCTGACGTCTATTTCCACCATTACTCTTGATAGCCACGCGACCGCTTTTTGCCTTGTAAAGGTTAAGCTTAGTGACGACCAAAATTCTTTTGATAGTCTTTTTAGTAAAATCTAGCCGTATGAAAATCAAAAACCCAAAAAAAATTCCAAATTTTGGACGAAAATGGTCAATTTTGGGCGGAAATCTTTTTTTGTAAGCTTGCAAAGTTTACGTTTAATAGTAAAAAAATGCCTAAACCTATCTTTTTTATTAGAAAAATTGGATCCTAAAGCAAAAACCAACCGGATGACTTGGGTCTCGCAATGGTTGGTGTGCGCAGCGGCGACTTGCCGCATTCGCGCATCAAGGTGGGAACGGTACTGAACAATCATAATTGATAAAAAACAGATATCTTTCTTCTACCTGGTCCTTCAAGTGTTGCTCCTTCTTCGAGTTGTTCCAGCGGAAGCGCTCAAAGGCGTAGAGACCACCGTAAGCCGCTCCAGCCCCGAGGATCACCTAAATAGAGATTTTTGATGGTATTGAAAAGCAGGAGCTTACCTTCCAGCCGACCGCCCTATAGAGCAGTCCGCCAACGATAGCCACCCCAATTCCGCCATTCGCGACGTAGGCGGCTGAAGAGAGCACAATGTTGGTCATCATCTGCTGTTCCTCGGATTCGGCAGCCTTCTTATCCTCCCTCTGCTGGATCGGGGTTGCTGGGGTCGACGTTCCATTGGAGGTCTTTGAGGACTAAAAAGCGAGGTGCTTTGGCAATATCGGCGGAGTGAACGTCAGAAAATTTTCCCATATTTTCATCATGTTTTTGATAAAATGTAGCTAATTGTATGTGGGGAAAAAAGGTTTTAGAAAACTGGCAAACAAACGTCAAAACATTCGAGATTTTCGCGAATATGGAGATTTTGCATTTTTTTTACCTAGAAAAATCGCAAAAGGACATTTTTTTGTTTTAGAATAAAAAAACACTCCTGAAACGTCCAAAATCAAATCTGGTATGGTATATTTTAAAGTATTACCAATGCGGTGGCCAGCAGGTTGTTTTGAATGGCCGTCACGGGCTGACCGCTACGATACGCGATGACTTTTCGGATGATTGCAGATAGACCGAACGAGAATCTAAAGAAAAATAATCTCTAATGGTCAATTTATCGTACCGGAACTCCAAATCCTCGTGGAAATCGTTGGTGAGCGATGGGACGTCGACGCAAATCGAGAACTTGAACGGGGCACGGTAACGCCACACCTCTTCGAGCTTTGGCTGGTACGCTTCGGCCAGAATCTTCTTGACGTAGACTAAACGAATTTGGCGGTTAAAATCACTCTGGATCAAGCTAACCAAACATCTCATTCTCCAGCGACCAAATGCGGCTCATCAGCCCGCCGGTGCACCTCGCTTCTAGCTCTTGGGAAATCATCGAATCAACAAAAAGCGCCAGCTCCTGAAGTTCAAATTTTTAAAACAAACGCTAAGCCAAACCGTTTTGTAGGCATTAATGTCTTTAGGCGAGTCCAGGAACGGTCGATTGAACTTGTCTATGATCGCAGAAAGTCGTTGGATTTCTTCGTGGAAATCTGCCGAAACCTAAAGCACAAATTACCAGCGCAGAGATGACAAACAAACCTTCAAATGGACCTCAGCCCGCAGCATTTCCGACTGCTCCCGATAGGCCTTCTCAAATGCGGCAAAATTCTCGCGGCAAGCGTTGAACTCGTTCGTGCTTTCCTAAATCGAAAAATACAAGAAAAAACTAAAAATTACTTTCAACTCGTTTTGCATCAGCTCCTTTTTGTCGTTGGCGCTTGTAAAGACATGATCGACATTGTCACGCACTCTAAAAACTCGTTGAGGCTTTTTGAGCAAGACCACCTGTGCACCAACTCGTTGGCGCGCCGAGAATGTGCCTCAAATTTGCTCCGAATTGCCGATCTAAACAGAAATTTAACTTGGCAAGCAAAAATGCGGACTACTTTGAGATGCACTGCTCGAACTGGCGCTCAAACTGCGCGAATTCGTAGGCGCGCTTCTGGAAGCCCTCCATCTCGAAGGCTTTCTGGATGACACCACGGGCCTTCAGCCTGGCGTCCAGCACTTCGCGGGAACTGACGAAAAAGACACGGTTCGGGACATCGCTCGTCGCGCAAACCTACAAAAAAATAGTAAAAATTAATGAAAGATTACGGACTTGTAATTCATCGACCAAGAACTGCTTGAAGCGGGTGAGGTGCTGTGTTCGGACCTAAATCATAAAAATGTTTTCTTGCGATTTTTTCAAGGATACCTGATCAACGCTGTCCTGCTCCGCAGCGCTGGCATCCCAGCGATTATTCAAGATGAAGACGTTCGGTTTCGAGAGGCGCTTGCTGACGCGATGGAAGAACGATTTTTCCTATGAGTGCGAATAAAAATGCAGTAGAAAGGGCGTACAGCCTGGGTCAGAGTGGCCTCGGCGTTGCAGACGAGCACGAAGACGTCGGCGTCGAGGCAGTGCTTGTCAATCCACGAGTCGAATTCGGGGGAGAGGTCGACACCGGGGCTAAAAGGGTTGACATTATTGAGTCTTTTTATAGCTATTAGCTATCCTAAACAACATTCGGGAAAATCCAAATACGGCTACATGAACGTCGTGAAATGAATCCAAATCTCCAGGGTCATCCCACGACATACCTATCCAATATCACAACATCATTTTGTAGCAGACGATTGTCCTTCTTCGGGTGCATGATTTTGAGCAACGAATCCTGCCCCATCGCCGGCAGATCGGCATTGTCGGCCGAACACGCGTCACCGATCTAAAACCAGAATTGGAAAAGAAGACCCAGGCTGCTCGCCTTTCCCAGCTGTGACATCGGAATCGGGGTCGAGGTGCCTTCGGAGAGCAGGAATCCCTGTTCATCGGTCGTGCCTTGGACCTAAATATACAATTAAAAAGAGCCATTTAGTAAAATGGTTACCTGAAGAAAGCAGCAAGTAGTATGGCCCATGCCCTGGGGCAATATCTTTTGGTGGAGCATCGCGTTGATGGTTGTAGATTTGCCATTCGAGGTCCTAAAACAGAGGGTGATAAAGCAGAAACTATTTCAATCCTACCTCCCGAAAAAGACGACCTTCATGTTGTCGCGCTGGAATGTCTCCATGATGGTCTTGATCGAAGCTCGAATCTCTTGGACCTCATCTCGCGATTCAGCGGCCACAATCGAAGGTTGATTCTTGTCGAGTTCTAAACGAATAACCTCCCTGGTAGATAATTAAGTTAGTTTACATTTTAAATTAGTTAAAATTAAGAAAAGACGCAACTACAACTGAACTCAAAAATTTTTGCGCCCTTGCGGACACTCAATTTAAAGCCACACAAAAAGATAATAAAGTATTTACCATCATAAAATCCCTCCGTCTCGTCGACATATCTCGTCAAATCGTTGTAAATTTCGCCTAACACTTTCTTGGCGTCGGCGAAACGTTGCAGCGGCTCGTTCTCCCCATTCATACGCCGCTGGGTCTTCCCTACACGAAATGTCAAAGGTAGAACCGTTCAACAGACCGCTCATCACGCTCCGCACGTGATCCCCACCAGCTAGTTGCGCCGCCGTTGACATTTCTATCGCATACCACTTGTCTAGAACCACGAATTATACCGGCAAGCCGAGAAATGCTGTTTTAAAGTGGTATGTTCAAAGTTAGGTGACGAAAAGCCGATCCACTACGAGGGTAACCTCTTGACGGGCATATAACCGCCCGTCCGGTCGGCGGTACTCAAGAAATGCCAATGTCCCAAGAACATCAATGTATAACGTGCATTTGTCTATGCCGAACGTAAGAAATACTTTTATCGATAACACAAACGTACGCGCATGAATAGAAATAGGGTGGAAGGGGGCGTTTGCGAGATCTAGGAAGGACAACAGAATAGAGCGTTCGATGGGCCCGGTAGAAGACTAAACGTGAACAATTCAACAAGAAATTACGGGGAGGGTGGGACGGGGATAGGTAAGGGAAAACAAATCATCAAAGGGTACAAATGGTCGGTAGGAAATATGGATTGAAATCAATAAGGACGGCCACGATCTCTGTCACGGTCGCCGCCACCTCCTCGACGATCACTTCCGCCCTCACGATCACGTCCGCCGCCTCGCATCGGGCCTCCACCGCCACCACCTCCTTGTCTGGGGGCGTGGCATTGGTTGCATTCTTGCCGGAAGCCAAAGTTGACGTTTCCGCATTCGCAGTGCCAATCCGTGGGGCGGATTTCGAGGTTGAAGTTTCCGCCGCCACCGCGGCCGCCTCTGTCACCACCTATCAGGACATTTTTAAAAAAACCAGAATTAGTCGATACCACGGAATCCGCCGCCGCCGCGACCTCGGCCTCCATCGAACCCACCGCCACGTCCTCCAAAGCCACCCCCGCGATCACCGCCGAAGCCGCCGCGGCCTAGAAAATCCATTTTTAAGAGAAAACTAGAATTTTTATACCTCCGAAATCGCCGCCGCCTCCTCCAAATCCACCACGACCGCCTCCACGTCCTCCGAAACCGCCTCCACGGCCGCCACCTTCAGCGTCACGGTTACGGAACTAAAAGATAAAGTATATAGTTGTAGTTGGACTTTGGCTGTAGACTTAATTGGAAAAATGCCTAAGGAAGAAGGGCTTCCACCGATTTTGCGAAAGGACCAAAAACTCTACCTTGGCAATGGTGAGCCGCATCTTCTGATCGGTGCCCGGGAATGGCTGCCCGTCGTACATTCCGATGACTTTCTGGGCCGTGTCCGGGTCGGTGAACGTGATCATGCATTCGCCCTTGTTCTCCCCGGTCGCGCGGTCGGTGTAGATTTTTACGCTAAAATCGAAATTGAACGAAATGGCTAGCTTCGATACCGAGGTTGGCCGGTCTTGTCGTGAACAGCTACTTGGCCGGCAGCGCCGAAGACGTCTTGTACGAATTGTTCGTTGGCCGACTTTGGGATGCCTTGCACGAAGACAGTGTCGGGAAGTTCGACTTGGTCACCGCCATCTCGGCCACCGCCGCCACCGCCAAAACCGCCTTCACGGCCGCCGAAACCGCCGCCACGACCTGAATGGAGAAATTTTGTACGGAAACCCGAAAGCCCTTAGATAAAACACGATAAGTTGTTCTATAAAAAAACCATGAGTAATAGAAAAATTTAACATTCTTTAAAAAAACATAGGAAAATGTGAATTTGGGCCAAGTGATAGATTGTTACGGCAGCTTGTTTTTAGGTCAAACTAAATACATTTTTCTACTGTAAACCTAGATATTTACTAAAATTAAGCTCAATCTTACATTGTTAAGCACAAAATAGCTAAAAGGTTTATCAAAAAGAACATACCGCCAAAACCGCCGCCCCGTCCGCCAAAACCGCCTCCGCGTCCTCCATCGAATCCGCCTCCACGTCCACCGAAGCCGCCGCCGCGTCCGCCATCATAGCCACCGCGGCCTCCGTCGTGTCCTCCACGGCCACCATCGTAGCCACCACGACCGCCAAATCCGCCGCCACCGCCACCGCGTCCTCCTTCGTAACCGCCGCCGCGTCCGCCCTCATATCCGCCTCGGCTTCCTTCGTAGCCGCCACGGCCTCCTCCGTAATCACCGCCGCCACGGCCTCCTTCATAGCCGCCCCGACCGCCGTCGAAGCCGCCACGTCCGCCTTCGTATCCACCGCGACCGCCGCCTCGTCCTGAAACAATAAATTAAACAGTGTAATGGGGCAGAAAAATCGTTTTTCCCAGTTACCCTTACAAAACCGGCAAACAGCAAATGTCGTACGGTTGTAAAATAAATTATTGTCCCTATAAAGTACGGTGCGATACCTTAGCCCACAAATAGCAAAGCAATTTTAATGCATAATCTATCTAACTTCGTGCGGATTCTGGAAATTTTCCTGAGTACATAAATTTTTCGAACCAACCGTGCGACATTTGCTAATTGCCCTCAAAAAATCCCATGTAAACCTTATAAAAAATCACACGCAAAATTCACAAAAACCGCCCGCTATAAAATGTTGACAATCCCTTCGACCATGAACACTTCTTCAGCAATCGTGATTTCCCCCACGACTTCCGTAATTCCCCATATTTACCAGTTTTGCCATCTCATTTTTATACCTATACCCAGTTACCGTTTTGAACGCATTTTTACTACTACGACCCCCAAATACGATTCATTATTTTTTCATTTTATCGATCCAATTTGTAGTAATACCTCCGAAGCCTCCACGGCCTCCAGGTGGTCCTCCGGGCCTAGAAATGAACAACGTCAACCGGTGCTTGCCGGTGAAGCCATCACGGATAATCAACCATACTGTGACTTTTTTTACCGAAAAAAATGTGGGAAATTTTGATCTCTCTCGCTCTCTCTGCGTCTCTCTAATCTCCGCTTCACGAGCTAAGTCAAAATAAAGCCTGAGGTAAGTTCTATTATCCGTGATGGCCAAATTTTGTTCACACATGTGCGTTCGGATACGGGGATACGGATACCTTCACCTGTAAACGGAGAAATTTTGAACGAGACAATCCACCATGACGGCGGATTGCCGGAAAATACCAACCGCATCCTTGCTCGAAACTCACCCATATCGATACCAGAAATAGCCAATTTTCGCAGATTTACTTACCTGAACTCTATAAGTAATCAAGGCACATTCATCGCACGACACTTATTAATAAACACCTCAGATTCATTTTCGATTTTGCAAAACACCGGATTTTCGAGAAAAGGCAAAAACAGGGATCCTAACTTTGCAAGTTCACAATCCACCCAAGGAAAGAATAAGTGCTCACCCGCCAAAATCAGCAGCGGGAGCGCGGTCGTTGCCACCACCGTCCCATCGAGAAGGCCTGTCGCTGCCGCGTCCTCCGTAAGCACCACTAAAGCAGAATAACAAAAAATGATGAGTAAGCAACCGTTCGGCCCCTCCAAATCCTCCACGAGGGGGTCCGCCACGGCCAGCGTCTGCGCCATAGTCTCCACGGCCTCCGCCGCCGGCACCGCCACGTCCACCTAAATTTCAAAATAAAGACGAGCTCGGGCTCCATTTTGGCACAAATAAAGATCCGAAGCTGCTGCTCAATAGCCTGTTTGTAAAATTCTATACAGACATTTGGAACTCGAGATCATTCGAGTGTAAGATGACCCAATACAACGGAAAACGGTTTCTTGAAATTCACCTCCATATCCAGCATCATCGTAGCCACCACCGCCACCACCTCCAGCTTGCTTGGCGGCTCCGTTTTGTTGGGCGTAGTAGGCAGAGTACTGGAACGGCTAAAAAGCCGAATAGGCGGCGAATGTCGGCACTTACATCTGCACCAGCGGCGCCTCCTCCTTGAGCCTGGGCGGCAGCGCCGGCGCTCGGATCAGCGTTGGCGGCCTGTTGAGCGTAGTATTGGGCCCATGCTTGCTCGTATTGCGCCATCGTCTGAAAACGAAAAATATGTTAAGAAAAAAATAACATTTTGCCAATTTTCCAATGGGATCGTTGAGGTGAAAATTTACCTCAGGATCGTATTGTTGTCCGCCAGCACCGGCAGCTCCGCCGCCCCCACCACCCTGGCCGTAACCTTGTTGATAGGCCATTCGGCTCTTCAAGGGTGAACCTGAAAAGTATAAAATTATGCGGGAAGGGGAATTACAGTTCATTGGCACTAAACGAAGCTCAGAAACGGATTCAAAAGAAGTTGAAAAACGCTGTCTCGAGCTGGAGCTTTTGAGCTGGGTTGCTATGAGCCTTCGAAATCTCATTTTCGAGAATTAGAAAATCGAAATTTCGTTACGAGCTGCGTCAATCGGTTTCAAAGGAAATGAACGTTTCGAGTTGAATTTCAAACCAGAATTTTGGTACTGTAAATTGCGACAAGGTGAAAGTAACCGCTAGGGAAGGGCTGGGTAATGGAATGGACCGGGAAACGAGATAAAACTGACAAAATGCGACTTGTAATTCGAAATGAGCAGATGTCTGAGCGATAGCGGTATCGAAAGAAGCGTTCGATTGGGCCACGGCCCCCTCATACGCGCCCGAAGAGACGCGTTGCGGCTCCAGTATACTACCGCCAGCAGCCACTATACAAAATAGGGAAAAAGGCAGGCTCGATGCATGCGAGACAAACGCTAACGAGCGAGACTAATTATAGCCAAAACGTAGCCCTCGATTGCGAGCCTGAATAAAGTAAAGTGTGAAGTAGCAAAAGGAGTGTCAGGTGTTACAAACTTGCTTTATAAAGCTGTTTGTGTCGTATTAGAAGTTCTTTTTTTAAATTGGTTACAAGTTTTTTTGGCGAAAATAAGCGCCATGAAATGAGTTCCGTTCTATACACAGTACGTACGGCGTAATGATAGACGTGCGGAACCCTCTAATTACTTGTAAATTACACGGGCGGGTTTTTAGCCCTCAGGCAGGTTGATTCCCGGGGCGCGCAATAGCAGTGACAGCCTTTTAGGTCGCGTAATGCAACTGATTACTCGATGTTTTGTTGAAACAAAAACTATTATAAGTGTAAGAAACTATATTGCTTTGATCGCAAGTTTATTTTATCTTACAGTTACAGCTACAAGAATAGTATAATCACATGGACAACGGCTTGTTGCTAGGGTCGACGCTTTATAACGGGGCGCTAAATCTTTGCTTGCTTGTACGTATAAAACCAAATATTTTGGAAACAGCAAGACGCATCACACAAGGGTGCATCAGGATTAACAGGGGAATTCTAAAATCAGTTCTGACTTATGACTTTAGGGTATCCACTCAAGAAGCTTTCAGGCCACACTTCCGAGCGATACACGATGAAAAGTAGGGTTTCCTAAGGTCACATAGGTTTAAGAAGCGCAATTATGAATCGAACAAGGTTGGGCTGAGAAACTAGGAGGTTTTCAACAAATAGACCAGAACTATCCAAAACTAAGCCGCTTCTTTCTTTCCAAGGCGAACTTCCTGTAAGCATAGTTTTAGCGCTGATCTTACGCTGTCCGGCAGCAGGAGAATTCTGAACAACAGGCCTGCCTTGGTTCCGGTTACAACAAAGCATACTTTTACAAATATGAAATACTTTATTCAGAGTGGTCGTCGAGTCCGGAAAGGTATCGGTAAAATTTTGCGCGAAGCATACATAGTCATGATTTTGGCCCAAAATTTTTTCCGTTGATTGCACCCGTGCTGTCAAGCCGAGAAGCTAGAAGGCTCGACAAAATATATTTGATAATGTCTCCCTTGCGGATGCGTCTTGCTTTTTCTAAGATATTTGGTTTTATACGTACAAGCAAGCAAAGGTTTTATCGCCCCGTTGTAAAGCCCTGCCCTGATCATCATCATATATACAATCGGCCGTCGTGCATTATTATACTATTCTTGCCGTTAAAATAAACTTGCGATCAAAGCAATATAGTTTCTTACACTTATAATAGTTTTTGTTTCAACAAAACATCGAGTAATCAGTTGCATTACGCGACCTAAAAGGCTGTCACTGCTATTGCGCGCCCCGGGAATCAACCTGCCTGAGGGCTAAAAACCCGCCCGTGTAAATTACTCTTCCCGTTTTTTTCTTTGAGTAAAATATTTCTAACATAAATAAAGAAAACGTTTTTGAACAGTTTTTTACTGTTCATGACCTAAAAATTTTTAGAAAATGTACTTGAACACCCAAAAATTATGGATTTCGTCCAAAATAGTCGAATTTCGGTCCAAATTTAGAATTTCTGAACCTTTCACCAAGTTTTGTAGATAATTTCCTACTTGAAAGGTAGCCAATTCGACGAAAATCACGATTAAAATACTTGCTATTACTTTATAAGTCATTTCTTGACTGATAAAAAAGGTATCCTCATAAACTCCCCCTGATAATGTGAAAGCTACGTTTTCGGTTTCGTGAATATCCGCCTGTAAGAGTAATGAATAAATTAATATATTTTAAATCTTTATAAAACTCAGTGCATATGTAATAAAAATGTTCTGATCAATCGGAAAGACTTTGCAGAGAATCTGGGCGGTGAGCATGAGATATTGAAGGGATATTTTAAGAGTATGTTGACCTTTCGAGGATCTTCGAAACAGTTTAATTAGTGGTTTAAAATGCGTTTTCGGATTTTTGGAGCGCTCTCAATTTGCGGCGCTGTACGAGGATGACGCTGAGGGTGGCGAGCTGGAGGAGGGTGAAGATCAGGGTGGCAATGAATTGGGAAAATATGAGATGCGGACAATCGGATGGCATTGTCTGCTTGGCGGGCTCGGCTTCTTCGGTATCGTTCGCGGCTTCACGGCGAGACTTCTGGGTGGGGAAACCCTCCTCAGAAGAAACGACGAGTAGCTAGAAAATTGAGATTATGAAAACAACAGGTTGTCTATGTAAATAATTAATTAATGCGTTTTTTAGTTGTTTTTATACTGTTGCATTATCTGGGGCCGGTTGTCAGCGGAAAATTTTTTTACTTTAGTGGTTTTTTTTGCTGATAGAAATAACGGAAACGTTTCTAAACGGTTTTTCCTAATCTTAAACGCAAAAAATGTCCAATTTTTATTAAAAAAGTGTACGGATTTTTCGACCCAATTTCGATTAAAACATAGTGCTAAAAATTTTTAGATAGTTTTTCCTTTTTACTTTTGCTGAAAACACTATTAAAACACTTACTATTACGCTATCAGGCATTTCGGGAGTTATAGAAAAAAATTTAGGGTTTGCTGATGAGCTCCCCCCCGATAAAGTACAAGCTCCAAATTTCCAACATCTTCATAAAATTGTTTTTAGATGATAAAACGCTCTTTTCGAGACTTACCGGTCCGGTTTCGACTCCAATCGTGATTGTTTTTACAGGGTTTCTAGGGTCTAAATTCCTGGCCAGCCGTGTCGTCCGAGATTCCAGACGCTTTTCATTGTCGGTAGGAATTCTTAATAGAATTTTTTACAAAGGTTAGGTGCAACGAGAAAACCTGGCCGAAATGATGGTCGTTTCAAAGGCGGTCCCCCGGCCCAGCGTTTCGTAACTTGACGAAGTCGTTGAATTCGTCACGGTTTTTCTGACGGCCCGGTAATGCTAAAAAAATCGACATGAAAAACTGTTTTACATCTCGTATGAAAGAATCATCGTCGTCTCGTCAAGAATTTAGCTATATTTAAATTGGAAAAACCGTCTAAAAGTCTAAAAAGATTTAAAAATTCGACATTTTGGTCGAAAATCGGATTTTTGGCTTAAAAATCTGCATTTTTTGGCTTAAAAATCTAAATTTTTTGTTTTTTGAATCAAAATTTGTCCTGTTTGCGTTTAGGAAGTGTCGAAAACGATTTAGAACCAGTTTCTATTTCTATTAAAAAAATTGCTTTCATATAAAACGTTGATTTTCCCCCCTAATACCCCGATAATGCGAAAGTACCAAAAATAAATTGGTCAAAGCGCTTTAAGAATTTTTAAAATACATGAATTTGACGCCCACCTCGACCTCTTGCATTGCCGGGACGTCACCTTCAAACCGGAAGCCGCCTAGAGAGTTTGGTAAATGATTTTTCGGCAAAAACGGCTAAGGATTTTACGGCGGCTGCGATACGCAACGCGCGGTCTCGTGGTGCGTTGCGTATCATGCTTCGAAAAATAAATAGCAAAAAAAATAGTTTGCGACGTTAGCCCGTTTAAATTTTACCTTGTACATTTTGGAAGTGCGAACTGGCGTAGGTATCCCGATCTTCAGAATAGCGACGTAGACTTTCTGAAATTTGTGGTTTTCACAGGGTTTGGGAAAACCAAAGCCTAACTTTAAACCGAAGCCAAAGCGAAGGTAAACGTAAGCTCAAGCTATGCCTGAGCCTAAGCCTAAGCCAAGCCTAAGCCAAGCCTAAGCCAAGCCTAAGCCAAGCCTAAGCCAAGCCTAAGCCAAGCCTAAGCCAAGCCTAAGCCAAGCCTAAGCCAAGCCTAAGCCAAGTCTAAGCCAAGCCTAAGCCAAGCCTGAGCTAACCTTGAGCTAAGCCTAAAGTAAGCCAGGCCCGAGCCAAACCAACCACTATTCTCAAATCTCCCTAATCGTTGATAGTCGAAGAATCCGGGCGGATAGTGGCGTATCGGCAGCGCGGCTGGAGGTGGTGTTGTATAAACTTTAAAACGCACTGATTCCTCAAATTCCGTTCTTACCATATCTTCCAGCCGGCATTATTTCATCGCGATTTTCGCCGAATCTTATCGGGACGTAGTACCGGAAGCCGGTAGGTATCTAAAGACGGGTGGAGCCTAGTTTACAAAATCTAAAAATTTCGAAAACCACAGCAAGAATAACAGGTTTGAAATATCTAAAAATTGCTTGAAAAACCGATAAAAACCCTAAAACTTGGATAAATTTTGATAGCGTAACTAGATAAACCTACTCGTTGGGTGGTAAAATAGTCGTGATAGCTGTCGGGGATCTGCGGTGATGGCTGGAAAAACTTCATTGAATTTTTAAAGGGCGGCCCAAGGCAATAATATATGAATTTTTGTATGTGGATTTTCTATCGATTTTCGCAGCCGCAACACGACACGCGACGCCAATGCAATGCGTCCAACCGTTACAGGGCGTAAAAATTCATAGGAATGTTATATAAATACAAAACTTGGCATCTTATGGCACTATAAAAATTGTATCAATTACCGTAGTCTTCGGCATCTCAAACGCTTCATCCAGGGTGGTGGGCGTTGGGAAGGTGGTCGTGATTTGAACCAAAAGCTGTTCAGCCGCGGCCTTTTTCTCCGCCTCTTCGCGTTGCATTTGGTGGTATCCTAAAAGATGCGCTTTTTCAAGTCTTAAACCAAATTTTTTTAACGAAATTATGTTTTTTTTTAGAATTTAAAGGGACAGACAAGGCTATGGATTTTGCCGCAACCTCAACAAGCAACGCGTCCGTCCCACTTTTTTCGTAATCGCAATCCGTGACGCAACGGCAAGATCTACGCGCGCGTTGCGTGCCGTGCGGTTGCTATTTGGCTGGCTATCCGGTCCCTACAAATTGTGCCGCGGCACGCAACGCGTCCGCCCCGCTTTTCCATCGGAAATTGACCAAATCCGTGAAGAAATGGAAAGACGTGCGTGTGCGTTGCGTGTCGCGAATCTAATTTCAAGGAAATTCACAACCAACAAAATCCCGCACTTACCTTGCCTGTTCCTTTAAAATTTGCTATTTTCAAGCGATAAATTCCGAAGCGATACTTTGCACGAGGTGTCCGGTGAGTATTTTCGAGGCCGGCTTCGTCGTCGAAATGACTTCAGCGTCGCGGACGGCGGCCAATTTTCGGGTGAACGACCCCTCAGCGTCTGTCCATCCCACTTCTTCCGGTTTATCTTCCGGATCCGGCCTCACCGGGAATTCAGGTTGTTTTTCTAAAATTGGTTGCTACTGGCTTTCACAATTTATAAATCTTAAAAATCCGTTTGTCAACGAATTTACCCGGTTTTCGATACGTCGTTTTGAGCGGGGTGTTGAGTGGAATTGGGTGGCAAGTCGGCGGCTGGAAAAGTTCTTTTTAAAGGGACCGGCAAGGCATGGTCATGGAATTTGCTGTTATCGACTCCATGATTTTAGTTTTCCGAAAAATCCGAAACCACGGCTTTCCAGTCCCTTTAAAACCCACCACAATGCCCTCGCAGCCGTTGTCCCGCTTTTCGCAGAGGGTTAGCTGGCAGCTGAAGTGGACCTGAAAAACGGTGACTACGAAAAAATCTTCGAATTTGTTAGCTGAAAAGCTTGGGTTTGACTTTAGACGCCGCTTCAGTCAGGCTTAGCTTAGGCTTAGCTTAGGCTTAGCTTGGTCTTAGCTTAGGCTCCGGTTAGGCTTAGCTTCAACTTAGCTTAGTCTTAACTTAGGCTTAGTTTAGGCTTGGCATAGGCTTCGCTTCGGCTTAGCTTACCAGCAGCTGATCGGCGAATCGAAAAGCATTAATGGTAGTGTGGACAGTGTGGAGGTCAACCGAATATTCCAGGGCCGGCACAATCGAGCCGTCGATCGGACATCTAGAGATTAACAGATTACTACAAAGTTTACTACAAGTACAAAGCCTCACAAACTACCAGCTACAAACTAGTACTACAAACCCTCGATCGTCGACCAGTTCATAGTCTTTTCCCTGTTCATCTTTGACACTGCAGGAATGGACGAGGAAGCCGACGTCTTCTAGAAGGACAGTAGTGAGAGAGAGCAAAAGAGTGAGAGCGAGAGAGAGAGCGCGAGAGAGAGAGAGAAGAGAGAGAGATGGAGAGGGAGAGAGAGGAGAGAGATCCGAGCAGACACCAACCATTATTACAAGTCCACCTATGCACAATCGGCTGTCCGATCGAAGCGAGCCGTACTCTCGCCCCATCCACCCCATCCCCCAACACATCGTAGCGGCAATGCGAGGCGCCGGCTGTCCCGCCAAGATTTGTCGGTTGCATTTCTCTTAAAAACGGAGTACTACGTACTTTTTTCCTATTTTCACGGTTTGCCCTTGGCGACACCATCCCGTTAACGGTATCGGTACCGCGACACGCAACGCATGCCGATGCCGTTAAGACGCTGCGACAAGCAACGCGTACGCTATCTATTGGATGTCGTTCAGAAGTTGATGGATAAACAGCGCCAGCGCGCAGAGTGGTGCCTAGGGCGGGTGACAGCGCAGCTCTAATGGCCGCTTGCGACCCGCCAGCGAAAACCGCTTGGCCCTGTTCAAGGTGGTGTAATCGATTACGCAATGAAAAAGCGGAAGTTGCGTTGAGTGCCCTTCTCACAAATAACTAACTTGACGTTGACCTGCTGCCGTAAAGTCACAGGTTTCTCCTCGTAGAGACAGTTGAGACGATAGGCACGGTCTCCTGGAAGGGAGAAGGTTATCGAAGGAGGTATCTTCTGCGCATTAAAGAGATGCACCGAAGGCTACCTGCCGTGACAAAGAAGTGATGGTGTTGAACAATGACGGTGACCTGGTAGTTGATGCCGGGGGGATTCGCCTGAAAGTATAGGTTTTTCAAAGGTTGACTGTGAGGCAGATGGTAAGGGAGAGATCGAAATCGAAATAAATCAAGGAGAGAGACAGAGAGATACAGAGAGAGCAAGAGAGACAGAGAGAGCAAGAGAGATAGATAGAGAAAGCGAGAGAGAGAGATAGAGAGAGATAGAGAGAGCGAGAGAGAGAGAGAGCGAGTTACCTACCGTTTTCTGCGTCGATACCATACAATGCCCCTTATAAGGTATGTGAATATAAAACGGCGAAGATACTGGCGCTCGGCAATAGTCGAGATGACAACTGAATTTTTTAGCGAGATTTTGGCCTTAAAAAACCTTTCCGGCGGCGCATTAAAGTATCCCTTGACGTAGACATGGCCCGAAAATGGGCCAATCGGGCTGAGGTGAAGGCGCATCCCGTCGGGGAGACATTCCTAAAAAATAGGATTTTTGAAGGGCCGCGCAAGGCACTGCTATGGACTCGCTAGAAATCAATCTGCTTGAAATCCGGACTTACCAGCGTGGGTTGTACGCGAAGCAACGGGTTCGGGTCTTCGCGTACATTGGCGTGTTGCGTAGCGGCGGACGGCCAGAGGATGGCCAGCACTACGGTGATGATCAACATTCAGCACCCTCGTGTTCACATCAGGATCCACGGAAGTTGGGCAGTGGTCTAGGGGACAGTTTTTTTGGAAATCGCAAGCTAGCGGAGATCATTTGGGAATAGGGAATGGCCGAAAACTGGGGGATAGCCCATAGCTCTCATTAATGCATGGAGACCGGTAGCTGTGAGCCTTGGAAAACTGGCAGAGATCCTTTTGGATTCAAGACCGGACGCGTTTGACTGATACCTCGCATTAATGCAGTGAGAAAGCTAGATGTTAGCCAGGGCAAGCTAGCCGAGGACTTTTGGGGATTTGCCGGGTGGAATAAAATAGCTTAAAGGGTTAGAAACCCCTAATTCTACCTAAAAAACTACCGTAACCCCGCCCCCGTTTTTACCGGATTACGAGGGCAAAACGTGGATAGGCGGAGTGAGGGGGGACCTTTCGACGCGATCGCCATGCCATAGCCAGCTTCAAGCGCTGGGGGAAGGCTGGGCGGAACCGGTAAGATTTCCGCTCATCCGGCATCGGCATCTCCCCCCGATTGTACGGAAGGGGGCAGGGTCATCCCCCAGACAATACAGAGAGAGAACGAGAGAGAGAGAGAGAGAGAGAGAGAGAGAGAGAGAGTGAGAGAGAAATGCATAGACTGGTTCAAAGCCCTAAAAAGGAGGGTGGCTCCCGTATTCTGGCTGCCGAGGCGGGGATCAGGCTCGAGGAGTCCCACGAAATGCCCCCAGGGCACATCTCAAGTCTTTGAAAATGGCAAATGGTGCGGATAACGTGGGAGCTGATCATTTTGAAGCATTCCAGCCAAAATCCCGACAGGAAAAATCCCGACAAACAAAATCTGGATAGCAAAATACCGACAGGAAAAATACCGACAGCCAAAATCACTGTTGCATAAACCGCGAGTGGCCGTAACATCTGCAGCCACAACCCCGAAAATTTGAACCCCGAAAGCCAAAATCCCGACAAATAGAATTTGGATGGCAAAAATACCGACAAGCCAAAATCCCGACAGCCATGATACCGTCAACCAGAATCCCGACTGTCAAAACCCCGACAGGCAAAACCTCGACAGGAAAAATCTCCACAAACAAAGGAGAGCAAAAATACCGACATGCCAAAACGCCGACAGGCCAAATCCCCACAGATCAAAATCCCCCCAAGCCAAAATGCCGAGATTCTCGACGCTAGTTTGCTAACACTTCTTTCTCGACAGCTATTTTGTCCGTCGTTCGGCATTATGATTGTCGGGATTTTGGCTGGAATTCGGCAAAAGTCATAGTGACTTGTTGGAGACGTCGTACTTGAAACATAAGCTCAAGCCGAAGCCTGAGCCGAGCCTATGTCGAAACTACCACATGCACAACTTCAAAAACTTCAAGCTTCGAAAAAACTGCGATTTCAGAGACGCTAGGAGTATCAAGATGTACGCGACAGTACTCCTGTCGAGAGCGTATCGAAATGGAATTTGAAGGTCGATGACAAGGAGGGGGAAATGGCCTCTCGAGGAGGGGGAGGCGAGGGGTTCTCCAGCCTGTTCACCCCCCTTTCTATTCTCCCTAAATATGTAAATGGCACCACCTTTTATGGGTACAATGGCAGAGAGAGAGTGAAAGAGAGAGAGAGAGCGAGAGAGAGAGAGAAAGAGTGAAAGAGAGAGGGGGAGAGAGGGAGAGAGGGAGCTATAGGGCAGAATCTCTTCCTTTCTATTGAACCATCTGTTTGACCAAAAACTCTTCGGCAAAAAGGTGACAGAAGGCTTCCGCAATGGATAATACTGTATTTTCAAGTTTCAATTTAATTCTAATGTTTTATTGCAAAAGTCTGTGTTCTCCAAGACTTTCTCTCTCTCACTCTCTCTCGCTCTCTCCCTCCCTCTTTCTCTGGCTCGCTCTCTCGCTCTCTCGTTCCATCTCTCAATCTCTCGCTCTCTCACTCGCTCTCTCTCTCGCCCTCTCGCTGGCTCGCTATCTCTCTCTCTCTGGCTCGCTCTCTCGCTCTCTCTCGTTCTCTCTCTTACTCTCCCTCGCTCTCTCTCACTCTCTCTCTCTCTTTCTCTGGCTCGCTCTCTCGCTCTCTCGTTCCATCTCACAATCTCTCCCTCTCCCTCTCGCTCTCTCTCGCTCTCTCGCTGGCTCGCTATCTCTCTCTCTGGCTCGCTCTCTCGCTCTCCCTCTCGTTCGCTCTCGCTCTCTCTCGATCTGTCTCTCTCTCTCTCTCTCGTTCTCTCTCTCCCCCCTCTCTCTCCCTTCGCTTTCTTATGCCAAATCCCGTAAACTTCACAGGGTCGCTAAATAGGTCTGCTGATTTATATTGTATTAGCTTTATTAGAATATGTGTTAAAACTCATTAACAGGGCCAATGGTTGACGATGCTAAGGTTGGAGCCGGTCGATAATCTTCACCACTGATTGCGTATACTCCTCCTGCTCAGCATTTGATAAATTAATTCATTAAAATGAGTAATTAGCATATACAAAATTGACATTAAGCACATCCGGTTTAGGGATTTCCCCGGGGGCAAATGAAAAGCTATTTCATTCGTCAACGGGTCGCCCCTTCGAGAAGGCCCTCACCTTCACGTCGGCTTCGTCGACTTCGGATAGATCGGCGCCCTCGTCGCCATCTGCATCTACAAGTGGGGAACTTTTTGCGATTATCAGGGCATCACTCGAAGGGTACGGGTTTATGACCCCCCCCCCCCGCCGACCCCCAGGTACCGTATCTCGGTTCCCTGTTCATCTACAGCTGTGTAAAGTATACCAAAATACTCTCCGGAGAAAGACGAACATTTTATTATACTTTAAACACCTATAGACCAACAGGGAGCCGAGACACAAAAGCGGGCGCCGGCTGTGGGGGAGGGAGCTAGGGGTAAACTGCACTCTAACCGAATTCGATATTACGAAAATTCGGAAAAATTATGATTTTCAGAGGCGCCTCCTTCTTCAATGCCCGGCAGGAAGACTGAGCCGGCCCCGACTGGCCGCAGAATGGTGACGCGATCCGTGGCCCGAGCAAATGCCGCTCGCGCAAACAATCCGACCACGCCGATGAGCACCGCGCGTCAAGCCTCGACGTCCCGTTCGCCAAGTACGGGGCGCTCCCCGACTCCCGATATGAAGCCCCAAAACGATCATGTAGGGTTTTGCTGTTCTAGCCTGTTAGCGGGGGGGCTGGGAGGTGGACGGCTGTGATTGCAGACTGCACAAATATACGTGTCGTCAGTACGTGGAATTCGAAAACTACTAAAAACGCTAGAAATTTTCTCCAATAGTTATAGAGGTGCTTTCGCATTATCGGGGGTGGAGCAAATTTTTTTCTCAGCAACCAATTTGTTAAATATAAATAGTGGAAGTGTTTCGGAACTTGTTTTTACTAATCGGATACGTAAAAAATACAAAAAATATCGATTTTTCCTTCAAAAATGACGGTTTTTGAGCAAAATGTCATCTTTTTTAAGAAATGTTCAAGGTTTTTGGATAGTTTTCCCATCCTATCCTATCTCTCCGCCCTCTATATGGTGTTATTTTACTAAAAACATCATGAAAATACTTTCTATTAAGTTACTAAACATTTCTAGATTGTCACAAAAAAATTTTTGCCCCCCGATAATGCGAAAGAAGCGTTGTAGTCAATAGCTAAACGCCGAGCCACCCCCCCCCCCCGCTAACAACCTAGTACCGGCTTTCGTGAGTTGGGGAAGAGAACATGGTGGAGTTCAGATGCTCGATGAGATGCGGGAGCAGGACGATCCTCCCCAGGCCGACCCTCCGCCGGTCCTCGAATCGGCGCCAAGGATCGAGAGTGGGTTTTACGCGGCGTAACTTAAAGTCTTAGCTGAATCACTATTTGCTTCTCATCTTTAATTTCCGTTTCAGAAGAATACAAAGTCGCGTGGCCGGTGAAGCTCAACCTGGGCGAAGGGTTTGGTGGCCTGATCACCGCGGATCCGCCTCCCGACTCTTGGATCCAGGTCGGAACTGGGGTTCTTTTGCATTAGCAGGGGGAGGGCGGTAGGCGGTATGGGTGGGTACAACTTTCTCATTAGTATTCAAATTTTTGTAGCATAAATTGCGAAACTCCCTCTAACGTCTATCTACTACGTTTTGCTATATTTTTACTATTTCTTGTAAACGTAACACATTTACAAAATTTTATTAGGAAGTCAAAAATCGCGATTTTTCGACCAAAAATCACCAAGAATTCCCGCTAAAAGCTGTTACAAGTTTTTTTTGATTGTTAGTGTAATTAAGAAACAGCTTCATTTTGCTAAATTCTTCAATTCTATGTCGCCAACCATGGGTACATATCAATGTTTACAGAAGGGAGACACGCTGCGCTCAATCGAATCGGGCGCGAAGAATGGCCGAAACTGCCCCCCCATATCTCTACGTCTTCCTGACCACACGAGTAGGTTTGATCCCCGTTTATTTAGCTTTTTGGTCAAATTTGAGTCAAATGCATACTGAAATCTGTGTTTGCAGTACATCGGCGAAATCGAGGAAAAGAAGATGACGACCTGGACCCTGGAAGTGCTCATGTACGCAGTCAAGGGAGTCTGCATCGGCTGTCCGTCCACCGAAATCCATCTGACCAGGGGCATGCTCCGGATGTGCCGGCGTTGTCGTGATGCCCTCAAGTAAGGATATTCCACTTTACTCAACCAATTGTTTTCTAGGGATTGGACTGGCCATCGCCACCTCTGTGCTGACGACACGGCCACACCCATGCGACACGCCCACAACAAGAAGCAGATCTTCGCCGGTAGACTGCTAAATCGGTTCTTGCCCAATATCGAGGGAGGGGGAGGAAGAGGAAGCCAACACTTTTAAAGGGATACCCAATGTTTTGGCGGCAAATATATAGTTATGTATTCCGGGGAACACAAATAACGCGCGAATTTTGTGCGATAATGGATGCCCAGTGCCGCACAGAATTCGGCCTCCTCTCCCCCTTCTGGCGTCCCCATCTCGACCAATGGCTTGCCACTATGGCCTAATGGATAGCATCCAGGCCTTGAAAGCTCGAGGTTCGACCCCCGCCCGCGTCATGGTTTTGCTTTTTGAGCCCCGAAAAGGTTGGGTATCCCTTTAAGGATCTAATTTTTCCAATTTTCCCGTTAACTTGTTGTTTTTGCACTTCCAATACAGTTAAAAATTGCCAAAAACATTGCAAACACTCAATAGCATTCTAACTTCAAAGCATTTCTGGCCGCACAGGTAAAAAGTTGGTTCTCCCTTCTCACCCACCCCCGATAATGCAGACGAACCGCAAATACATTATCCTTTCCCTAGAAGTCGAAGGCGCCCGTTGTCTGCAATGCCTCGGAACGAGAGCCGCAGCCCTCGGATGGGCCCCGGTAAGCGTTTTGATCTTAGCGACTTTTCTAGCTGGGACCAGCCAGACCCAAAATCAACATTAATTCTTATTTTTAGAAAAATCCGCTCGTGCGCAAGCTCCTCCGAATCACCGACCACCCGATCCGCCCCGATAGCCCGATCTGAGCAACGACCGACTCCCCGCTTCTCGACTACTCGCAAACCCTTAATTTCACCAGTTCAAGTTGTGATGCAACTTCACCAGTCTCTGAATAAAAGCCATCCCCATTAAACCAATTTGGATTCAAATAAAAGAGCCACACACCGACAGCGAGGCAGTGAGAGAGAAAGGGAGACAGAGAGCGAGAGAGAGAGAGGGGGAGACTAACCCCTTTGAAGTTCAAGCGTTTTCGGCTTCAGAAATTAAAACAGTGACTTTTCTGACTTTTTGGTATCGTGTTTTGTCTCTTGTGGTTTGTAGCATGTAGTCTGCTTTGTTTCTGAAGTTTGTAGTACTTAAGTTTAGGTAAGCTTGTAGTTTGTGGTAATTTTTCAGAAATATCTATGCACTGAACCGGTTTATTCGGTTAAATTTATCCGTTAAATTCAGTTTACAACGCGGTCAGCTCAAAAGTCTCATCCGGGTCGCTTTCGGCGCCGTCCGGAAGCCCAAACTCCTTTCGCCATTTCCGCCGAATCGACACGTGACGCCCTGAAAATTATTTATTTTGAATTGTCATCTTTCATTTCCTTAATTAGTTATAAATCCTCGTGATTGAACACGTGGCGCCCTGAAATTCGTTTTATTAACATTTCAATTGAAAGCGACTGCTCCTACCAGCAATTTTCGTGTCGTAGAGGGCGCATTTTCCAGGTCGGATGCGCAGCGCCTGTACCGTGGCCAAGATCAGGCAGATTGCCACCGCAAATACGTTGAAGAAAACTGAAAAAACACGATTTTTAAACTGCTACGCTGACGCGACCCACACGTCACGCGAGTACGCGCCGCGTCTCGAGCCGGGAAAGATATCGTCGCGACGCCGACGCAACGCAGCGCACAGACGACGCTACGCCTCATACGCTACTCACGTGATATAAAAATATCACAAACAAGTTTTTTTTTCCACACTTCATAATCGACACATAAGCGTTAGAATACGCAGCTCATCGCGACGCGTAGCTTGATGCAACGCGGAACTAGCGCATGACGCAGCGCAGACGCAACGCAGGCTATGTTTTAAAGGGACAAGCAAGGATGGAAAGCCGCTTTTTACACGGGGTTGTGGGTACTGTAGTCGACTCACAAAGACTATTCGCCTCAACACTCATCAGCTCCGTGTAGCCGAGATTCCAGTGTTTGAACACGGAATCGCAGATCAGTTTCTAAACAAGCTCGGTAGATTGCATCCTTTAAGTCCTAAAAACCCACCAACAACGTGAAGAACAGCTGCCCAAAATCGACACATTTGAAGAGGATGACCATGTTGAATTTTTCGAGGTAATCCTGCGTCATGTTGAGCATGATATGGGTTATATAAACTCCAATGAGGGCCGAAATACTCGCCACGCCATCAAGGATACGGAAGACCCTGAAAAAATTTAATTGAAATATTTATCGGCTTTTTCTATTATTTTTCAGAATTTTGGGCCCGAAAAAAGCTAGCAAAAATTGATTTTAAAGTAGCACAACGCCGAAAGACCATTTTTGTAGTAATTTATCATGATCTGGAACAGTTTTTACAGACTTCTCGGTCTCTTTAAAACTGACGTAGATCCGTCGGGCACTCCTTCTAGGACCAAAATGATGACGGCAAGCTGGACGAGCACTCGACAAGTCGGTGATTGCCATACAAACCATAGAAGACGCTGCAGGTTTTTCCTGGAAAAACAACCACAACTATAAACTTTCTTAAATCCAGCTTACGGCGTCGGCTCGGCTTCCGGCAAGCATTTACAGCAGCAACACATTGGCGTCGTTGCAAAGCTGATACGTTTGCCGCTATAAAACATCAAAATAAGGACCGTTATTAAGAATCGATACTTTGCGGTCAGCCAACGCGAAAAGCTCTGGCGACCGCCGAAGAGTTTGTAGACCAAATCGACGACACGGAACAGGGCACCCATCAAATAGCTGGAAAACCAGTAATATTAAAATGGCTTTAAAGTTGTTAAAATGAGGTAAGAGGCTCATTCACTTTAAAAGTACCCACGTTAATCCAACGGCATACATTAACTCGCCACAGCGGGGGAATGCGTTTCCAATCACGCACGTAGTGGCAACGATCTGAAAATGTTTACGGTGTTTAAAGAACCGGATAAGGCAAAAACTATCATTTTCCTTGTTGATCTTGATCTATTACGCCGTGGAATAGATGGCTCTGGACTGTTAGCGGTTGAGGCGGTTTTAGCAGGGGCAAACCCACTTTTTGTTTTTCCAGCTACCTGTTGATGATATATTTGTATTTTTATAGCCTTTTTACTAGTTTGGGTTGTTAGAAAGTCATAAACATATTTGTAAAAATTTTGGGTACTATTCAAGTTAGGGGGGCAAAATTTTTTTCGAGGTGATTTTTGGGCTACTTGTTAAGTTATTCGCGGCCAATCAAGTGCATTGCTCTACTTCTAAGCTAAGCTAAGCCGAAGCTCAGCTAAATCGAGCTTGAACAGAGCTAAACCGAAGCTAAAAACAGCGAAGCTAAGAAAAACTAAGCTGTTGTGATCCTCGGAGTGAGTAGTCGAATGATGTGGAATGCGCACGGACGTTCAGTTATCGAACAACTGTTTATCTACATAAATGGTGGCAGGAGGATCGGCAACAGAGCTAGTCTGTGCCGATAATTGGACCCGCAACGAGATAATACAATCTAGTCTTAGGCGGGAAGTGGCGCACGCGACGCGACCGCAGGGGGGGCGCGCGCCGGTGGCTTACCCACTGGATAGGAGGGACAGCCGGGAAAGAGGATCTAATGTGGTACAGCAAAGCTGACACCACAACATAAGCTAAGGCGAGAGTACTTCACCCCGCCCAGAAGCTAAGCCCAGGCTTAGGCTAAGCTAAGCTTAAGCCTAGGCTAAGCTAAGCCTGAGCCTAAACTAAGCCCGTACTAAGCTAAGCCACGCCTAAGCGAAAAGAAAAACTAAGAAGAATGGCTGAAAATGACCCAAAAAAATTTTGCCCCCCCCCCCCGAACTTGAATAGTACCAAATTTTGTAGATTCGCAAATTTTAACCTTTTGTGGTCATTTTTTCATAAATATATCTAAAAACTATGTAAAATGCTAAAAAAATGCTTTACATTTTGCTATAGTGCCGTAGAGAATCAAAGGGGGGGGGGGGGGGGGGGGGGAACTGGTTCCCCCCGCTAACAGTCCAGAACCGAAAAATCACGTTATGTGTGAAGCGGGGGCAAGCGAAAAACACGCGGTGTGTGGCGGGCATGCGAAAAGCATGCCTTGCTCGTCCCCTTAATTCAAGGCTCGCAACTTACGAATGGCGTAGCCAGCAAAACACAAAGATCCCTCCTCAACATATCATCCTCCACATAGAGATTCGCATCTCGCATCATTTTCAACGTCACGCAGAATAGAATGAATAAAAGCACGTAGCTGCTGATTTGCAAAGATAGGATTAGTGGCGGAAGGCCTGAACTTATATAAAACAAAAATAAAATTTGACTTACCACCCCAAAAATGTGCGGCCAGCGGCACGAAAGTGAGGTTCATCTCTGCGCATAAGTTATCACTTGAAAATTAGTTATTTTTGAAAGTCTGAATAAATTTTGGCCGCTACAAAGGGTTAAAAAAATTTACAAATCGTAAGTATTTAAGAAAAGTTAATGAAGAGTGAAAAATTAGGTTCCAAATCCACGGAATTTCCCAATTCCATTGCTTTTTTAAATTAGATTGTAAAATATGGGAGAATGTAAAGAAATAAATAAGGAAAAGTGTGATTCCTTGACACTGGTCAGAATGTGGGTGTGTAGCGATAAGGGTGGACGAGACTTTGATGACTCATTTCCCATTCCCACCAAATATTCGTGAGGTGTGAGGCTGCTTTATTTGTCCTCAATGTACCCGATGCGTTCCGGGATGCAAATATTGATTTTCCTGGTCGGCCACTACCTGAGAACAATTATAGTAACTAGCAAGTCGCGCAGGCAGAGCTACGATTCACTTTGCCTGCACCATTTATGCCAAGACCCGAATAAAAATTATTTTTATTTGGAAACCCTAACAAGTAGAATTTTGTATATTATTTTGCGGTCTATAACTCTAGTCGGCGGCGGCCTACAGGCTCAATAACTGGAAAGCCACTTGAATCTCATTCACCACCACGCCTGGACAAGTTTCCGAAATAAGGATACTCCACTATTATCTGGCCTCGAAAATGCCGTGAAATGCCTTGAAATTACAATGTTTATTCACGCACATAAATTAAGCAAACAGAAAAACTTGTAAAAGATCACGGAAAGGGAACACGGGGAGAACAGTGGGCACAAATCGTTGATTAAAAATAGCATATTTACAAAGCTCCTAGATAATCCTTAACTTTTTGCTTGGTCAAACGATGGAAGCCGGTCTTGTTGCAGATGGCCACCTCGACGTTGTCCTCGTTCATGCCGACGTCGAAGCTTTCCCGTAGCGTGAGCAGCGCTGTGTGTACACCGTCTTCCAATTCGAGCTGCTCGTTGAAGCGCTTCTCCAGAAACGTCTTCGCATTCACGTCATTCTTGCCGAGTGCCGTCGCTTTCCACGCAAAGTAGGCGCCAGAGGGGTCGCATTGGAAGAGGAGAGGCCGCCCGTTTCCCGGCTCTTTGTCCCATCCAGCCACCAGCAACGAGACACCTGAACAAAAATTCATTCTAGCGAAACAAACAACAAGAAAACGGGTTCTTTCGCATTATTGGGGGAGGGACGGAACTTTTTGCATAGGTCTAGAAATGTCTAGTTAGTTAATCGAAAGTTTTTTACGGGTTTTAGTAATCTATTTTTTTTACTCTTAGTTTTTTCAACTAGAAAAACTATCTAAAAACTTGGTCGGCAACTAAAGCAACGACAAACGGCCTTTTTTTAGTCGAAATCAAGTCAATATACTTTTATATTTTTAATCCAAATTTGTGACACCTATAGGATCAAAAACCATTTAGAAACACCTCCGCAAGCTGCATTTGAAAAATTAGAACAAAAGAAAAAAGTTAGTCCCCCCGTTAATCCGAAAGAACCAAAAAAAATGTACCGAAGGGGCGGACACCTCCCGATTGTGTGTATTCTTGCATGACTGCTGCGAGCTTTGTCACCAATTGCACGGTGGGGATCTCTTCGCCGTAGGCCATCTCGTATTCCATCGCAATTTTGCGTCCTTTCTTGACGAGTAGTCGGAAGTCTGGCGCCATGCCCGAGTAGACGAGTCCAATGTGATTGCTGAGCTTCTCGATCTTCGGTTGATCCTCGAACAGCAACGAGCCGACGTTCTCCGTGGCGAGGACGACGCCGTCAGCAGCGCGGAGCCCGACTGATGGTTGGCCATTCTTCACCGCGTTCAGCGCGTATTCGATCTGCATCAGCTTGCCGGAAGGCGAGAAGGTTGTCAACGAGAAGCCGTAGTGGTCGCCCATCGCTTCTGAAAATTAATGGGATTATCGAAAGCACAGGCAAATAGAAATCAGGAGCAGGTGAAATCGGAAATTCGAAAAGCACGAAACTAGGTTTTGCGTTACGGTATTAGTTGCCTTTTAGCAAGCCAATGGAATTTAGGGATACGGTAGAAATAAAGCATGTTTCATCGAATAAAAATTGCAGTAAAATCTATAAAAAAAATAAAATATTAATATATTATTAGATTTGTTGCAACACAGATCTTCTTTTCCCCTTTTTTACTTTTGTCATCACCGATTCCATGGCGTAAGCGGTGTGGTTTGTAGTCTTGCGCTGCCGCCGCAAATGCGAAATCAAAAGAAATATTTTACTTAGAAAATGTCTATGGATAAACTTTTCCGGTCGGATTTCGAGTGGTTTATCTCGCCCGTCATTGATTTGTCCAATTTTCTGGAAAAGGTATCTTTTAACTCGTTCCCGATATTTCATTTAGTGCCAAGATGTAAACGACGCTTTCTCAGTCGTCACGATGCCCGCGAATTCGGATTTTTCCTGTACGGGCGATTCGGAGAACGAAATGGCAACAAATGAGGTGGGGCTTAGCATTTTATTCCAGTTCTTCTCTGTTTCAGATGGTCGCGCAACTCGCCTCGTTGACCGGCTGCTCCGCGCAAACGGCCCAAACCATTTTCCGGAAAGACCTAAAGTAAGAGACTTTCTAAGTGCTAATGGAAAAGTTTTAGCATTGACGCACTACGAGGAACTGATGGACGCACGATGCACGACGACGACGCGACTGTGTTGGAGCACGCCATGAAAATGGAAGAAGTGCCTGAAGACTGTTCTCTAGAAACCGTAAAGTAAGCCTTGTTTGCGTTAGTAATTGAAAGTTTTTAGGGCGGCACGAGAGCGTGCGGTACAATCGGCGGATTACAGTCGGAAAAGCCATTATTTGAAAGAGGGAAAATATTTCCGTTATAAGTACGCTGTGCCGGTAATTCAAACGCCATCTTGCCGTATTACCTTTTTTTAGTTAAAACGAGGCTTCACGAATTCGATCCGGGCCCAGGTCGACAAGGATTTCGTGATCACGTGCAGTCTGCCGGCACCCAATAACAAACTGTTGGGCCCTGAGGATCCGGGTCGAGCAAAAGCGGTAGCTTTTCAGATACAAATTATATGGCAACTGCTCTAATTTCAGTTGAAGCCGGCGATTAAATTGCTCGTCAGGGGCGATACTTCGCTGCTGGACTTTCGACGGCGTTTGGTAATTTTGAACCGCCTGCGAATTATAATAATCCAACTGTTAGGCCTGTCCTTGCGATATGAGCGTCGACATGGAGCCGGGAAAATGGTTTGAAGCACCGGACATCCAAAATAAGGTCAATTACTTGTCAACTTCATGATTATTCGTTTTAGTCTCACATGCTGCTCTATCCTTCCTCATTTATCTTCATCCACGACACTTTCTACGTGGATCTGGACAGCAAGGGGACACACGACACTTCACTGTAAATAGCCTGACTTTTCTTTATTTTGGATTTGCAGGGAAGTCCGACAATTTATGGAGCGCGACCCGAAGACCTACGGGCACTGCAAGGTGAAGAGCATCGACAACGTCAAGTTTAGAGATATAAAATTGCGGTAATGCCGTTTTTCTCTAGTTTTATGGTTTTATAGGCTCGGCCAGCCCTACTTGATGATGCATTGTGGGGATTGTGAGCATTTGTTGATCTTTCACGATTTGCGCACACTCACGCATTCGGATGAGCAAGACGCTTCTAAGTAAGATTTTAAACTGATTATGGAAAAATGTGCTTTTTAGGTATCCACTCGTCGCCTTTGAAAAAGCCGGTGATAACTACTGTATGGGTTGCAAGCGGGTCCTCGCATCTATGGTCGTTGAGAATTGCGATCTTTTGCCCAAATCGCCCTCTTTTCTATGCCGCGACTGCTTCAAGGTATCGAAATCATTATTTTTGTTATAACCATGAATTTTAGGAGTTCCTCTTCAACTCGAACAATGAACCGGTCGTCCCGTTTAACGCTAACTTCTATTACCCTTTGACGAAACTCACGATTTGAGTTGTTTTTACAGTTGTATAAATTGTTTCAATTATGCCGACACTTTTATCATGATTTTTCGTAATTGCACGATTGAATTTCTACATTTTTGAAAAATTAAACTCTGGTGATCAATTTATGCCGACATTTTTTTGCAGATGACTGAAGAGTTAAATCCAGTCGACCGGGATTTTGTGATCATCAAGTACCCCGGTATCATCAAAAACATCGACAGGGCTTTGGAGACCTTAGGTGGCCTCGAAACGATACAACAGGTTTTGAATTCGCACGGATTCTGATGGATTTTTTAGCATCACTCCGTCAATCGCCAACTGGAATATCGGCCCAGCCCACACAATCCGTATGCCAGTAGCCTATCTTCAGAAAGGAGCATCGAATCAAAAGTATTTTTACACTTCGTAATGCTATTCTTAACTAGGTAACGTCTGGCACAATGCACCTTGTTATAAAAATACGAAGGAATAAGCGCGATCCCTCGATTGTTCAAGCCAAATGTTTGGGAATGGTACGTTTCTGAGTTCACATCTATCCTCTAATTAGGCGAGCACAATATACACATTCGAAAACATGTGCGACTTCCAGTATTTACCACTGAAAGGTAATTTTTTTGGCGAAGCATGACGATTCGCCATTATTTTCAGGTGCCCAGGGAAACAAGGACCAAGTTTTTGAAGATTTGATGCCACGACTGGTGCCTCAATCACTTACCGATTCTCTGAGTTGGTGGCAGCGTCAGGACACGGCCAATGCGACAACCCCTCTGTATCTACCTCCCTTTCAATTTAGCAGGTACAATCCAACACCTTGCGTAGAATCTTTTGGTTTTGCAGATACAACACGCCATCGATGAAAATTCTTTCTCGAGAAACCGATTTCTCGCAAGAAAAAACGAAGCGAAAGAGCGGGCACGGTCAAAGTTGGTTTTATATACAATTGTTTTACAAGTTTCTCAAAACAGATCTACGCGTTGAAAGAAGGGCCCTATCTATCACGGTACACGCCAATGACCCGTTCCCCAGTGAAGCACCAGCAGAAGCAGTCGCAGACGCCGATTTCCGGTAATCAATTTTGGACATTGGCTTTACAACGAATGAATTTAGTTGCAAAAACGAAGAGCCGCATCGCCTACTTAGAGAACTTTTCAAGGAGCGCCCGATGTGGACACGCGTGGCTTGCGTCTTCAAGACCGGCCTCGAAGATACGATGCTGAAGTACGTTTCATCTGTTTTTCCATATTTTCCTAGGGCGTTGCTACAAAAGTATGCATTCTACATTTCATCGGGACCCTGGGGTCGATTGTGGTGTCGATTCGGCTACGATCCACGTCTCAATACGGAAGCGAGAAAATATCAAAGCCTTGTCGTGTCGTTTAGGTATTTTGTGCGGACTTAATTTTTAATCTGATTTCTAGGCAACACGCGCGTATTCCTGAACGGCAACGGTTGAAGGCGTCCACGGAGAGATCGCTGTACATCGGCCCGCACGATACAAAGGAGCCGATCCATTTCACTTACTTGCCGGGTGAGTGCGCTGATTCCCTTGGTTTATATTGGGCTATAGGTCGTCTACCGAAAGTTCGACAAATGTGGTATTCGCTCTGCGACATTGAGATGCCGGAAGCACAGCGAATGTTGGTCTGCGAGCCGATACAACCAGCGTGTGACGATACGCACGGATGGATGAGTGCGGTATGTGAATTTTAAGCTATCATGTTCTTTGTTTAGGAGCTCATGGATCGACTACGCAAAATGATCAAGGATGACGTGGAGAAGACGACGCTCGAGATCGACATGGGCGCCGAGGAATTGCCGATAATCGAGGACGATTGGGATTGATAGTAACATATATTTTTGTTGTGCTTTTGATCTCGTTTTCCTTGATAATATGATTCATTTATAACCTTCGAATTCTTTGTTTATCACAATTGCTCGATATAAATATATTTGGGTATGTTATCACATACTGCTAGTGAGGGTTTCAAGGCGAATTGGAGTACCAAACGTATCGGGAGGTGTATGCTGCGGATAAGGCGCTTTTTCTCTTTTGATTAGAGGTGAACAGTAAGAATAAGGCGACGCGGGCAAGGATGATATATCGACAATGGGGGGTGGCAAGCCGGACCGATGAGATGCATCGTAATTATGTAGTGTGGCAATTATTGCGAGAGTGGTGGGTAAGGCAAGGTGGCGCGGGGTAAATTGGTGAATTCATCAAAATCTTCTCAATCGTACTATCTCAAAACTAGACCAGAAATATCGGGTATGAAACGAGGACACGGTAGACGGAAAGGTGGGCATTCATCACAGTTTGCACAGAAATGGGGGGCCGGAAATGCTTGTTGAAAGGATGATGTCCAGGGGAAGACGTCTAGACGACCTTTGCCTTCTTCTTTGTCTGAAAAATCGGGTTTAATTTGGTGATGGCGATGAAGATGAAAATCATGCTCGAAAAAAGAAAAAGCAACCAACCTCAAAAAGTGTGTCAATCCGCCGGCGCTTGGAGACGGTGCGGGCGCGCTCTTCGAACGCCTTGTCCATGTCGTCGGCCCGGGAGGGGAAGCACATGATGGCCAGCTCTTTGAGTCGTTGGTCGCCTTTGACGCTGAAAGCAAAAAAGGTTAATTAATCCGAGTTTTTTATTGGATTGCTTTAATGAACCGGTGAGTCGATGCTTACGTTATTTTTTTAGTTAAGTTCTCCTAGGCAACATTTTAACGCCGATCCCTTGCCAGGCCACAGTTCCACCCGCTTTACCATTCACCCCCAAACCCGATCGGTCCCTTTTCTGGGTCGTCCTCCCCTGCCCGAGCCGCGGTTCCACCTCTGAGCCCCCCATCATTTCGTGACGGCCTTTTAGAGGCCCCCGACGTCGAGGTGCCAATCAATTCCGTGGACCACGCCCCGAGTTGCGCGAGGACAGGGACCCGCCGGGGCCGCGCGATCCGGATCAAGGTCATCCACGGCCCCCGCCACAACCGCCCCACGCACAGGAGAGGGGGGAGTCGCACTCAAAACATTGTCATGAGGTGGGGCACAAGGAGATTATGGCGGAGTCGGTAGATGATCAAGTGGTTGAATGATGCTTTTGGCCCAAAATTTTTAGCTGAACAGCCCGGATTTTACAGGCGGAAAAGTAGTAGCTGTCCGAAACGTTATTTTTGGCCTTCCTTGACCCATTCAACTTGTTTTTTCAATAAGTTTTTCCTTCGTACGCTAATATCGCCAATTTGGCTTTAAAAATTAGTGCTGAGATTAAAATTCCGTAATTCCGTAGTCGAAAGTTTCGGGCCGCAATTGTCGTGTCACCATAATAAATCTAACCCGACGTTTAGGTTGTAATTTTCTCCTTATTTCCGCTCAAGCTCTCCATCTCCCTAGAATGTACAAGGAGCAGCAGAAGCTGGTCGCGGTGCCCCTGGTGCTTACACGCGGGGCGCGGGTGGGGCTGAGCACGAGAGTCCAGTCCGTGAGCGGGAGGGAGGGATCAGGTTCTCCCCGAGGGGCTTCACCGTGTGCCTGTATGTATTTCGAGCCAGCCCCACATACACCCCCACCTCCCAATGGCATCCATCACTGACGGTAGGCACATACAGACAAACAGACAGACATACACTTCCCTCCCCTGTTGCTTGCTTGTGCCCCGGGGGCTTTTTGGATAGGGAGGAAGAAGAGGAGCAAGAGCAGGAGGATGAGGGGAGCAAGAGAAATGGAATGGGGACTACAGACCGCTTCTATCAGGCCCCCTCTCTCCAGCCACATTTGGCAATCAGGGTTGTCAGTCCGGGGGTGCTGGTGCTGCTGCTTGCTTCCCGGGGAGGCGGGGGGCGATGGGCGAGATTAATTGGGGCTGCGGCGCCTGGAGTCGCCTGAGGGGACCGGAAAGGCCAGCCAGTGCAGCCCTGCATACCTGCCCCATTCCAGATATCGTCCCCCGGGTATCGGATCTGCTGGGGGGCAATGTGTCCGACTACGAATAACAACCCTAGAACGGGGACTGGAAAGCAAAACTAGAGGGCCAAGAAGTAGCACTATGTTTTGGGGAGTGAAATTTAGATGCAGCTTTATATTTTAAGTACATTACTGAGGGTAAAACCGGCTAATTAGCTAATTTAACGAGGCTCGTGACCTGATTTGTTGATAGAAGAAGCACGGGAAAGTACCGTGCTACCCTGACCTAACCTGACCAGATACGGTTAAAAGTCCCGAGCTATTACGCATCACTACGCATACACCTATTTACGAAGACGTTCATAAGCGTACAAATACAAACTCCGTCCTTTCGCTTTCAGAGAAACTGGGAAGCGCCAGAATCGACCCGCCTACATTAGTAGAACTAGTAGAATCGAGCTCCGTCGATTTAATTCCTATTTTTTTTGTATCGCGTAGCTGTCAACACCTAGTCGACGGAAAGGGTCGATTTTCCCACTGCCCAGTCTCTTTAATGTGAACTCTACCTGGAGAAGCCCCAAATTCTATCCCTCTATATATAGTCCGGTCCACCAATTTCCCTGCTATACCCTTCGGGGGCATTAATTCGTGAGTCCCCCTCCACCCGGGGCTCGGTATGCGATTGGGAGGGGGACGGTGTGCGGGGGGAGCATGCGCCCATAATATGGCTCGGGGGAGAAGACCTCCTCCTCTTCTTCTACCCTCAGGGGCCGGTTCTGCGCCCCGCGGGTCTGCGGGAGCCCCTCGGGCGAAGGCCAGCACTCCCCCAACGCCACCACCCCACAGCAGAGCACCTCCACCAATGAGTCTTTGTGATATTGCTTGCCACCCATCGGAGGGAGGCTTCTCTTCGCGCACTCCCTCACCCCCAAAACAGCTGGCAGAATGGGTGTTTGGGGGAAAGAGGAGGGGGGTAGTAAACAACGGGACGGTGGGCAATAGCTAGAACCCATGGGAGCTGGCTGAGATTGCCCCTGGGGCAACACGAGAGTTACGACCCTAAACTACCGAAGGTTAAAGGGACTGGGAAGCATGAAATTCGGCTACCTTTCGACTGGGTCGACAATTACGAACCTAAGCCACAGGCGCTTAAAGCGACTAGGAAGCTTGAAAGTCTAGATTTTTTTAAATCAACTGGGTCTCGACAGTTACGATCTGAATATACGAAAATTTAAAGGGATTTACAACTCTGAAAATGGGCCTCTCCTATCGAATCTACACGCTCCCAGGGACAAAACCCATGCCCCAGCCCCTGAATACCTGCTGATCCTGCCGGCCTGTCGGGCCCAACCCCTGCTCTTGCTCCCTTCCCCCATCCCCCGGGGGCAATTGACCTAGTGAGCGATGTTTAAGACTCCGCGCTACCGTCCTTTCGCTCCGGAATTAGCCCCCGGGCAACGCGCGCTACGAGGAGATGGCCCCGGTCCCTTCTCCCAAATGCCTCTTCTTCTCCTCCAGCTCCTCCTCGAGAGCCGGTCCTGTCCCTTGTCGGCAGGCAGCAGCCCCTCTTTGCCCCCGGTGGCACTCCGCGGGCAGTCTGTGCGTATGTATGTGGGGGCTGGGGGAATGCTCGGGGCGCGGCCAAAAACGGAGGGCCGAACCTGTTTCGGACATGCCGTCTTCTTCCCGGGCGCAAAAAGAGGAGGCGCTGGCGGCGACCGACGACCGGGGGGTGTATGGAGGGGGACAGGGCTCCTCGTGCTCAGTCCCCAGAGCACCATCGATTGGGTCTTTCGCCGAAATCGGGTCGTGCGCCCGAACTCGACGCGGATCTGGGCGTCAACAGGTCCCCGGGACCGGCCCTAACTTTCTCCCCCTGGATCCACCACCCCATGGCTACCGTAGTCCCCCTGGGGGTGGGCTGTTTGGGGGAGAGCTTGAGAGAGGGGATATTTAGGCCAATGGGTCCTAACGCGAAAACCGGAGCAACAAAATTGGATAAAGTCAAAATTCCCCTGATAAATACGCCCAATCCTCACCTAGAGTCGATGAGCCGTCCGTTGCCGTTGTGTCGTTGCGAGACGTGGGCCTCCATGTCGGCCTTGGCGTCGCCCTGCTCGCCGCACTGGTCGCAGGTGAATAGGGTCGGGCAGTGGGTGGCGGCGTGCTCGATGGCGAAGGAAGTTGGCGACGTCGGGAACATCGTCCATGCACACAGCTGAAAATGAAAAAATTTATAACATCAAAGGGCGAATTTCATCTAAAAACGAGTCAAAAACAGCCGGCCTTCGAGAAGTTCGGCATACAGCCATTTTCCGGTTTTTTCCGCGTCGAATTTTGTATGTTAGAAAAAGAAAAAAAACGAACAGAATGTGTGAGTTCAAAAGAATAAGCAATATCCAATACTCGAAAAATTACCCCGCATCCAATCTTTGTCGTCATCGTCTCGGCCGGCGTGGCGACAGTCGGGACGAGCTGCGTGACGCTCAACGGATTCGGCATCGGCGTCAGGCTGAGGGGCACCGATTCGGGGTCACTCAACTAAAAAAGAAACCGAATCTTGCAAAAGAGTAAATCCCCTACCGAGTTCCGCGTGTGCGTATCCCGGGGCGAAAAGTCGAAGCCGGGGAAACATTGCTTGACGGCCTTCACCCATTCGTCAGAATATTCGGAATCTTTTCTAAAAGAAATATAGATATTTTTGTACATAAAAAGCTTACGCTTTATCGTGGAGTTCTGCCCGGCCGCCGTGCTTCGTGTCAACATGGTACTTGGCGCGGTCGTTTCGTCCAAAAGCCTCGCCACATTTTCCGCAAGTGTATCTGAAAAAGTGGGATTTTATAAAGTAAGATCATCACCAAAATACGATGAATCAAGGGGATCGAAATTTTAAATCCATTTGTGTCTTTAATTAAAATTACGATCCCCAAAATCCACAATATTTTGGTACAGCCACAACGCAAGCCACCATTAGACACACGATGGACAGGTCAATGAAGGGTTCCAGGGATACGACATGCTATCGATTACCTCTTTCAAATGCGTATAAATATGTCCAGGAACTGCTTTAATTCTTTAGGACTGTGAAATAAAACGGAAATGATACCTAGCCGCTGCTCGTGGGAAGTGGGTGGCGGCGTGGCGGGAGACGTTGCGGGCATTTCGGGAGAAGGACTTTTCGCAAATCTGCAGGTATAAGAGTTAGAGATCCAAAAATATTCCATGCCTGGCATGTAACACATTTATCTTTGCCGTCGGCAGAGGGGACGTTGCGCAAGAAGGAGAGATCAACCGAGGTGCCGGCTTCTGTCTAAACGGGATTTTTAGCTTTTTTTGCAGTTTTTATCGTTTTCCGGGCTCGAAGAAGTTTCAAAAAGAAGTAGAAAAGAGGTAAGAATTATAATACTACTTACGACTGGCTCATCCTTAGGTGGCGTGAGGGCGGAGAGCATATGTGCTTGACCCAGGTAGTTCGCGATGGCCGTTAGATTCAGGTTCATCTACAAAAAAAATCGATTTAAGAAATAAGCATTAAACAAACCTGGGGCTGCTCCCTTTCAGGCTCATCGTCATCATCCATGGTTGGCGAGCCGATGGCCAGCTCGTCGTCCTCGGCACCGTCATCCGAGGGCTCGCTCTGAAAAATAAATAGGTTTATAAAATCCTGATGATGTGCCAGCGAATTCCAGCTCTGCTTCAAATGTTACCTTAATCGGCGAGGGTTCCCGGTCGGGAAGGGTTGTTGCGGTGGTACAGGAGGGCGGCGTGATACTCCTTGAGCACGATGAGTCACTGAAGCTGAAAAAGGAGATTTCATTGGAAAACCCAGAAGGCCAGAGCAGCAATACAAGGAAAAAAATACTAAATAGGTCTTACCTGACTGTATGACTGCTGGCCGGTCTGTGTGATCCATTTTGTTGCTCATTCTCCTTCTCTCCTTGCTCTTTCTCACCCATCAACGGGCTGTCCTCGCGGGGCAAATGGGCAATGCGCCCAATGTCTGTCACGAACGAGATGTTGTCGCAGCCGATCTGGGCCTGGAATTGGATGAGTAGACCGATGAAATCGATAAATGTGGCAGTAAAAATCCTCATTTTGGCAGATTAAATTGGAAAAAAAGTAATAAACTTACGAGAACATTGTAGACGTTGGATAGATCGGGCTGATCCGGTAAGCACGCCCAAACGATCAATGGTCCGCGTGATGAGGACGACATGTTCTGCAAAATTTCAAGGTTAAGTAGATCGTCAAAGCTGCGGAAAATTAATTTGAACTTGTTCAAAAAGTAGTAAACTAGACAAGTAGCCAAGAAGTGAAATGCAGATCTTCGAGTCATAGTTGATCAATTTATAGAGGATGAAAACATCAAAAAAACCTCAGACTACAAACAAATAGGATAAAGTAAACCGACAAAGCAAAAAGCCGCAACGTGCTAAAGTGTTTTTATAAGAATAAAACAGATTTTCAGGTTTCTTATTAGCGAGTTTCAGAGCAAGAAGGGCGAAATGAAGTGCGGAGAGTAAAAAATCAGGCCAGGGGAAAGTGGCAAATCAATCAAGTGGTAAACGAAAGTCCATAGGGGGCGGCCAATGAGCCCCAGATGGTCATGTGGTCGTCTCGCGCGCGCGCGAAAGGGTTTAGGGCCAAAACATAACCCGGGGACACGCTCGGCGGCCCATCGGGCACCTGTTCCAATGACCAAAGCAAGATATCCCCCGAAAAAGTGGTCGCCGCTCTGGGGGGAAGAGCATATAAGAAACACGTCTGAAAGGGAATGGTACCCGGAGGGGCCGCTGTGGATGGGCCTTCGTTCGGGGCCAAGGGCATTCCGTCCATTTGCTCGATACAGACAATCTGGGTCATCTCAACGCCCCCCGGGTGGATGATGGCCATTCGCGGGGCGAAGGTCACACGCACAAACGCATCCCATGCATCAAAAGGGCCCAAATGGGTAAACTTTTTGGGAGTGAGTGTATGGATGCGAAGATATTGTTGCTGATCAAAGAGTTATAGTTGTTGAAAGCGCTTTAAAATGAATCTAAAGCTAAAAACTCTATTCGTCAGAAATAGTCAAAAGTAGATAGAACCTACTGAAACCACTTCAATACTGAAAAAATGATAAAAATAGATAAATTTAGAAGAATAAACGGATCGGAACTACACCGAGAGGTTTGTCCGTATGCACCTATGAACGTGCCCAGCGTCGATAGGTGTATACGTAACAATTTAAGGACAGTGCCTCAACTTTAAAAACTTCAAAAAAATGCTTTTAAAGGCCGTATAATGAGATATTTGGTAGGGAAGTGGGAGTATTACTTTTCGAAAGGGCGGAAGGGCCAAACCGCAGATGCGGCGGTTTCCACGCACAAATAGCCGGGTTTTGATAAAGGGCCCACGAATGCGGGAAAGGTAGGCGGTGCCGACAGATTTTGGGCCCTAGACATGCAATAGATTTTGAAAAAAACAGGAATGATTTGGTTTAAGGTGTGAAAAGAGAAACTATTAGTTAATCATTTTTAGACATGAAACATGAAATAAAAGGCGCAACGGAATAAGCCCACGAATGAAGAGGGCCATGTGACTACGATAAGGGCCCGGGAAACCGAGCGCGCTTTAGAAACAGACAAAAATCCCAGAAATTCCGCCGCAATCACCGGGCGCTAACTGGGGCTCAGCGGATGTGCCAGGAGGTGGACAGTGGAGATCCAGAGGCCGACTGGCGGGGAGATGAGCGCAGAGAATGGGGACACATTCTATTGGGGCAGCAGGGGCAGTCCATGCTCAGGCCTTATCTCTTCCTCTTCTTCTTCTTCTCCTCGGCTGGCTGTGTACAGGGGGGTGTCCCGCAGTGTCCGCGCACGAATCGGGTCATCCATCGCTCGCGGGGCGCGCCCCCCTTTTCAGGGCAGGCCTTCAGGGGCTCAGTGGATGAGGAGGAGCAAGAGGTGGAGGAGGAGCTGGAGCACACATCCACGGCCCTCCTTCTTCTCATTCGGGATTTGCATCTAGGGCCGTCGAGTTCCCAGCCAGCCCCGGGGGCTTTGAACGAGAACCGGCCCCCACGGCTCGGCTACCCCTACCTCAACCCCCCTAAATGGTGCACCCTTGTATAGATACAGTAGCGCCGGAGTTTGAAGGGGGGCGAATGGCCTTCTGCGTGGCCAAAACTAAACCGGACCTATCTCGGCGTAGGAGAATAGAACCGACGCCATTTTTATACGATTCGAAAGCGTAGAAAACGGCGAGTTTCCCAGTTACTGATTAGAGCGTAAAAGCTTATATATCCTTCGAAAATTTATGCTTTTTAAAAGTTTTTTTTTTGCTTTGAAATCCCGTGAAATTCAAACTTCGCTGGAAAACTTGCACGAAGAGGCCCTTTTTGCGATAAAAACCACCGGAGGCCGGGCAACTTCGATGCAAAATTCGCTTTTTTACTTGTATAAAACGCTTCATAAAACCTAAGGATTCGTTAAAACTTGGATATAGCAACGCTGGAAGGCACCCAGTTTTCTTGGGTTTATAACTATACAAAAATTACCGCGCAGTGGGTTTTTTAGGCCGTGATCTAGGGGTTCGTTCTAAATTTCGGTCATTTTTCCTAAACTTGCCTTTTCGGCTTTTGATGGACGAGAGAAATTTGTGAAGAAAATTTGTCTTTAGGAAAATTGAATCTCTAACAATCTCTTCAAAGCGTTAGTCTGTAAAAGTTCGAATCGTCCGAGGTTACGACACTTTTCGAACGACCCCATGGGCCCACAAAGCGGATTGAGCCACACGGTTGCCCTTGACGGTAACGGTGAGACCCCTCCTTTTTCGGGGTGAGGGCCGGAGGGTTGGTAGATGGTGGTGGGGGGATGGAGGGCGTAAGAAGGTGCCCTTCGGTCTCTTTGTGAGACACCCGGTGTGGAGATGGAGGGATGGGTCGCCTCCTCACTTTTTTTTAGCTGGGATTGGCCCGTAGCTGGGTGGGAGGAGGAGGAGGCCCCGGTAAAAAGGACACAAGGCTTTTCAACGTTGCGGGGCTTTTGGGCGGGAAAGTGAGGTATTGAGGTACAGTGGCCCTGGCGGGGGGAAGGCCGGACTTTGGGGTCAGGGTTTGGAAGCGAGACAGCCGAGGTAAGTTTTAGAGATGCATGATGTGAGATTTGAAAACCCGTTGTATCCGTTACGCAATGGAAAGGCGGCGCGTTGCGTGTCGCGACCATTTCAAAATATATCGGTATTGGTAAGGCAAGAATATATGATTTGTTGGCTGAGGATTCCGGCTATTTTACCGCGCCCCGCGACACGCAACGCGCACGCCGAAAGTCATAAACCGGCCGTAACCGCGTACGTAATGGAAAGGTGTACGCGCCCGTTGTGTGTTGCGGAACGTTAATTTTATAAAAACCTAAAAACCTGTATGATGGCCATAAAACTAAACTAAAAAGAACTAAACGTCTCGGCATAGCTAAATCTCTGGACAGCCCCTCACTTGGGGCACAGTTTAGCGCGCGATACACGCTGCCCGGCTGGCTGTATCGAAGCGGTGTGTCCCGTGGCGCGACGCGAGCACAAACAAATGCCGATGGAGGGCGAGCGGGGAACGCGGCCCAAACCGGGCCCATGTTTTGCGGGGATGGTACGAAGGCGCGAAGGGGCTTATCGCTGGTCAGATAGCTGTACAATTCTGGGACTCAGCTTGGGGTTGGAGCTGTGGCCCACCAGAGGTCAAGGTATAGAATGCCGAGGGCCAAAGACCAACAAATATCGCAATGGATTTACAATCCACTTTTCGAGAAAGTGTCGTCGAGAAGTGGCCGGAGGGGACAATCGGTGACACCGGATGGGGCCATGAGAGAGAGAGAGAGAGAGAGAGAGAGAGAGAGTTAGAGAGAGAGACCCGAGTGAGTGATAGAAATGCCGTGTGGGCCCCGTTGAATCAATTGATGTTATCGGAGAGTCGAGACTGGGGCAGGGGCACGGGGGGAGGGACTCTTCTGGGCCAACACACACACACGACGGCGCATAGATAGCGCCCAACACTCCCCAATCAATCCGAGGCCCAATATGGGAGCGAGGCTACTGACTACCGTACATATCGGAGTGACACGGAAAAATGGAAGTATAGTCCCAGCTAATAGGCCAAATTGGGCCCTAAGCTTACAGATGTTTTATGCAGAAAATGAGCGTGTCTGGGGCCCCGGAATTGAATGGATTCGATCGGAAAATAGAAATAAGGCTTTATGGGACAAATTGGGCCCTAAGATGCGGCCAAACTGGGCCTTAAAGGACTGTCAACTCCAAGCCAAGCCCTGACCCAGTAATTCGCTACAACGAGATCCGAAATCTGAATCATAATGCCTCAGAAAAACGGAAGTAAATCATGATGGGCCCACTTGGACCTGTCCGTCAGTTTAGGGCCCAGAAATCTGATCTCCCTGTGGCCCAAAATGATGATACAAATAAACAAAACAGCGAGAAGCCGGTAGGAAGGCCCAAAAGCTCGCCAGGGATGCCCGGAAAAGAATACGTTAAAACTGAAAAATCTAAGGGGCCAAGGTGGGTCCTAAGGTTTGGGTTAGGGCCCAAAAGCATGCTAAAAATCACGCGAGACTAGTAAAATATGAACAAAAATGAAAATTAACTATTTAGCGCCCCAAAGAATCGGAAGCAAGGGACCAACGTGGGCCCTAACGGCTTCGAGTTAGCTATAAAGCCCTCGGCCAGAAATAGGACCCTACTAGGGCCCCAAAATCACGATAAAAATAATCAAAACAAGCACCGAAGGCCCCCAAAAGCCCGAAATGGCCCTGACTCACAAAATCAATCAACCGCCGCGCCCCACCCCGGGCCGACTGCCTGTTTTTGGGCCCTGGCTGGGGGAGTAGAGGAGGAGCAGGAGGAGGAGGAGGTGGTGAATCGGTTGTGAGGCCACATTTCGCTTGTGTGTCTCGCACTTTTGGGGATAGGATGGGAATGGAATAGGAGGGGGAGGGGGAGGAGAAAAGTTGGCAAAGCCGGGGCACAACGAGTGGCCGGCGGGGGGGACTAATGGGGGTGTGGGACCTGTTGGGGGGCCGAGGGGATACGGTAGGGCCAAGGTCAACAAGGGGGTCCGCCCCCCGTTTCTTGGGACTTTAGGAAATCGCTAGGTTTTTGGGCCAAGTTGAAAATTGAAGCAAATTAGGGCCAAGGGCCAAAAGGCCAAAGCTACGGGAATGCGGGAAAAGGGCGACG